AACTAAAACTAGCTATACAATTATGACAATTTACAGTAAATAACAAAAGAGTAAACACCATTATTCATCATTGCAAAAACAATCATCAAAAATCCATTTAGTTTTTTAGTGAAGATATAAAAAATAACATTCTATTAAGAGCCTTATGGTTTGTGCAGTTAGTTAAAACTTAAAACCATTTAGAATATGACTGGATACATTGTCGTGAATTTAATTAATTGCTCATGCACAAATTATGTATATATATATATATATATATATAATAATATAACTATAGAAATCTTGTGTTGCAGTGTCTGTTACCTAACTACTCTGTAACAGCTTTAGAGTCAGCCTTCTCGAGGTAAACCAGTTAGCACATGATTTTAATTTAGCAGTCATTCAGATTAGACTAACAAGCCATAAAAAATCTAGAGAATTATCCATTACTTAAGAATTTAATAAAACAAAATATAAATTTGGTGGTCTATGAATCCCTTATATACTATTTTATAGTCCAATCTTTATATTTAAATATTTCTGGATAGGGCCAATCCAGAAATTTACATGGCAAAACAATGTTTGTCCAGATACCTAGTAATTAAAAAAACTACACTTTTCTCTTATTTGGCAGTTAGTTAAAACTATGACCATGAAGTGGCCCTAGATAGGGCCATGAAGTGATATTCTAAATAGTCATTTTGTAATTGTATTTCTAAATAGTAATTTAGTCATTTAACTATTTCTATGTAGAAATAGTTAAATGACAAAATAATGTTTGCTCAGTCACCTAGTTATTAAAAAAAACTATACTTTCGTCTGCTTTTGGCAGTTAGTGAAAACTATATGGTCGAGCGCAGTGATGGCTGGCTCATCCGTCATACTCGTGAAACGAGTGCTGCTTGTAGGGACTGGTCTGCTCTTATCACTACGATTGATTTAATCTTATTGCATATTTATATTTGACCCAAAAATTAGTGCTTGTTGGTAGTTTGTATTCACACGTTTCGACTTGTAAATGTAAACTTACAAGGATTATTTAAAAGAGCAACACACAAGTTTCTTGCTCATTCTTCTTGTGATGAGACAGCTTTCCGAACGGTGGTAAAAAACAAATTGTTATGACTATTCAAAAGTGCTTAAATTAAGTTTATTTGAATAAATGATTTTCTATTCTATTCTATTCTATTTAGAATATCACTGATGGTCCTATCCAGAAATAATTTATATAGCAAAACAATGCTTGCCAGTCAACTAGTAATTATAAAAACACATTTTCTGCTTTTGGCAGTTAGTTACAACTATTTAGAATATCATTCGACACATTGTCTTGAAATTTGCAATTCAAATTATTTGCCACAATACATGTTACGGACCACTACGTGAAGAACAAAACTAACTAAATGAAAGTGATGTTTGCATGTTAAATTACTAACCAACTCCTGACTCATCATTAGGCATAAACAATTTCCTATTTGAAAACATTAGAAACTAGATAACCAGCGCTACTTCGTCTATGTCATATTATCTTTGTTATCAATCAAATCAATATCATAAATTCCTGTAGGACATTTTAGCCACTTATGAATGTCAAGTTTTATGTATTAATAATTTTCTCTACCATTTTTCATTGATACTCAGGTTGTAGCATCACATCATATAATATATAGCCTATATTATATGATGTGATGATGTATACTTAACAAATGGGCTAACCAACATTACAACAAATTTCAAAATCAGATGTAAGTTGGAGTCCATTTTTCACAATCAGCCGGCCATGTATATCTTATATACCTCTTTATAAGAATAGTAACTAGCTACTCACCCCGGCTTCGTACGGATGTATTATATATATAAACCTTTCTCTTAAATCACTCTACCTATTAAATAAAACTGCTTCAAAATCTGTTGCACAGTTTTATACATTTTAGCATATGTAGAGACGGACAGACAGCAACAGCGACTTTGTTTTATACTATGTAATGAAGAAGTAAAGATTCAAATTCAAATAAATAGTCGGACAATAGGTATGTGGTGTGGTATTGAAATAGGCCAAGTATGGATATGCTTAATCACATTAGCACATTAGATCTTATTATCATATGTGTGAAGAAACCAAATTATTTGTGTACAAATTATTAAGTTTTCATAAGAATATTAGGAAAAATTTATATTCAAATCTGACTTAATAATAAGGTTAACTCAGATTTGAATATAATTTTTTTCTGAAATTCTCAGCCGGAAACTCAACTAATATAAGTATTAAAATCTTGTGTCATAAAATTTGTAATGAAACTCTTCAGAAACAGCTTGACTGGTTTTTATGTAATTTTTGGTGTATATTTGATATGTCTGAGAATAGGTCAGACTATTTTTTATAGTCCAAAGTGATAACTGTGGCCCTATCTGGAAAGATTATACATGTCAAAACAATGATTGGATAATCTGATCTAATTAGCTGGTAATTAAAAACAAATACTATTACTTAATTTAATATAAGACTGAAGGGTTTGATATTAGGGAATAAAATAGGGATCAGTGGTCCTTCATTTAGTGCTTGTAATGTCATGATGATCTCAAGCAGTCTCTCCTGGAAACCATATGGTTAATTTCTGGTAAATTGGATACAACAGACTAACTAAGCTGACTTCATATGACTACCAGTAAAAGGTGGTAAGATAAACATCCTACCAACTTTGACTGGTGTTCCTCTAGCATAAACTATTACCGCAGATGCAATTCCATTATCATAGACAAAAAATAAACAATTTCTTATGTAGGCCCAAATTACACAGTGAATCAAATGTTATAAAAACTAGTTGGGAGTTGGATGGGAGTTTATTTTTACAATCATGTGTCAAGAATGTTCTATAAGGATGTACACTTGACTAAAAGAAAATTGTCAATAAATTGTATAATAGTTATTTAAAAGAGGAAATTCACTAATTCCTAGTTGGTACTTCTAAGTTACCACATTACATGTTTATTTTGTCTATAACTAAGACAAATATTCTTAATATTAATAAGATAGAGGCTTGCAAAAGTTGCATCTGCAACGAATTTCGAACGTAACGAGGTCAGTCTCGCCTGGACAAATATATTTCACAACGACAGACCATTCATGGCTAATCCAGCCATCTCGTAATTGGTTAACTAACTTAATAAAAAACTTTTTAAATGCATTACAAAACATGTTCCGAAAACTCACCTGTATTTTACTAGTATTATACGATGTAACTCTGGGAGATATGCCCTCAAACAAACGGCAATACGAAAATAAACACGCAAAAAGACGACACAAACTGTTAGTGACTTATTCGTTGAAATATCTTTAATGTTTGCAAATTTATTAATACTTGTCACAAGTAAACACAACACCAAATATAATTCAAATCACTTTTTAAATCGGTTTATGGTTTAATAAAGAAAAAGCACTTAATAATACGAAATGTAGACGTAAATAAACAAAACAAAACAAATCAACCAAAGCGGAACAAACAGCACAAGAAAGCGTAAGTACTGAACTGAACGAACCGAGTGTAGGTAGGTATAATACAGTATAGTGAACTGAAGCTGACTGACGGTCAACGTGACTGACGGCAAGCAGAATAGTGTTGCCAGACCTTTATTTTATTTTGCTCCAATGTTGTTTAATTACTTACCCGACAGGTTATTGTAATTATGTTCACTACTGATGTTTCGGAATGGCTGTTGCAGAAAGTTTAGTTATAAGATCAAGACGTTTTGATGACTATTATGAAAATTACAATGTCCAAACATTTTAATATTCATAATAGTGGAAATTACTCTAAAGAGTAATATTTCTTCTTAATACAAGGTAAAATACACTACATTTCCAATACTACAACCGTCGCTGGAATGACAGCACAGACTCTACAGAACACATATCTGTCTACGAAGGGGATATGACAAGATACCTTGAATATGAGTGTTTTGAAATAAGAACCGCCTAAGTATATATTTGCTTTGAGACGAGACCAAAATTTAAGATACTAGAAATCGCACACTACATATAATTCTCCCACCTCAGACTAGACTTCACTCTGTGTACTTGTTTCTTACGTTTTTGTAGCATTTTGGATTCGCGTTTTTTGTCTTTTGTACAAAATTGTACACATTTATTTTTATAACCATGGGTCCGAAGATGGTGATAAAAGTCACCCCGAAAAAATTGCAACTGGTCGTGCATCGGAGTTGTTCAACGTAACTTTCCTAACTCATTTCCGGAATATCCTGAAAAGGAGGCAGAAAACAATTTCCTTGTACAGTTTTTTTAAACTATATGCAGGTGAAAATGAGCAAAGCGTAATGAAAAAAGCGATGACTAGTGATGAAAATTAATTCTGTTTTTATAGAATGGAAATAAATTATTGTTATTCGAAAATTGAGTCGTGTTTAGGAGCTATAGTATGAGGATGAATTTAATTAATTATTTTATGAAATTGGATTAGCAAATATGCTGACGATCCATCTGATGGTAAGCGGAATCCGTCTTATGGATGATAATGAAAAGATGCACCTGGCGGGGCACAAAATTACCATGAAGTTAGGTCAGTTAGCCCATCGTGATGAATTTCCCATGAATTTATCACGGTGGTTTCCAGGAGGAACCACGTGAAGGTCAACCTGACATTGTACATTGTCAGCAATGGGGTTATGAGTCCACATTACCAACAATCCCCATCCGCTCAGTGGAAACCGTCGACTATATATATATGTATATAAATAGCGCTATGGTCATTACGTTATACCACTCATGCGATGTCATTCCAGAGAACGAAGATGTCATCCCTCTTATAAATGAAAACAAGATGACGACAAGACAAATTATCGCGAAATTAATTTTAATATACCCACTGCCACCCTTGTCAAATTACCATCAGTTTCCCATAAATAATTTAATAATAATTGCACAATTTGAATTATATTTACATATTTATATACATCTCTATAATATAAATGGAGGAGTCCCAATATTGAGATCATTGTAGGGACGTTTGCGAACATTTTATAATGTTCTCTAATTTTTTAAGCTTATTTCTACCCATTACTATAACATTGTTGTAAGTAAAATTATTATTTACTTTGTAACCTATTATTAAAGATATTTCGCCTTAAAAATCTAAGTTATAGGCTAAATATTTTTCTATCACAAACAGAGGAGGTTTTATTCTACTTATCAATGGGCCGGTACACAAACATTCGACTAATACCAAGCAGATGGAGAATTTCATAAATTGTATTTTAATATGATAAAATATGGATTGCGAAAATGGACCATGAACATTGTTAAAAAAATTACAGATTCAAATTCTAATATTAAAACTATTTCAGTATAAAAATCGTGAAATTATTATCGAACTTGTTCAAAATGGCTTGATCGATCAATTTTACGTTTTAGTGTTTTGTATTCGGTGATTGTTATTTTTGATTATACTTCAGTGGACCATCACTTTACTCATTCTAATATTAAAACTATTCCAGAACAATCAGCCATGGATCACCTAACGTTTTACATCGTGTAAAACTACCTACATATTGCAGCTGCCCACCTCACCCCAAGTTACGAGATAAACAAGGACCCACCAAATGGACAGACCGTCGCACAATCATTCAACAACTCGACGACCCACCATATGGAGAAGGCGGGATCCCCAATGGGTTTTCAAATAACGATCATGCAAAGGATATTTTATATAAAAGGAAAGGCGATTACACAAATATGGTTGGCGAAACATCCAGCGATTACGAGGATCCATTTGATGAAGAATCTTCTCCTATAGGTCCAAGGAGACATGACGAGGGATTTAAGGTTATAACAGGAGGCAAAACATTTGAACATGATAAAGCAACAAAAGAAAAGAAATCAAATACTCCTAAAAATGACGATGGAAATTACTTACAGGTAAAAAAGTAATAATAGTAATAAATTTATAAGTAAATATCTGACCCCGCGAACTTATTGGGATTTTATTTATGCAGAGGGCAAATAAGGAAACACCATTTTATTCGCAGTCGTCTTTTTTTATTAATATGTTTTCTCTTTTTATATACAAATAATATATGTCAATATAACAAAGGAGTTTTATGTCCAACAGAACTCTGTTCCGCCTCAGAATTTTAATAATATGTCAAAGGTTTTTTGAAGTTCAGCTACGCAATAAATTTCTGAACGCACTCTGTCTGACAAGTACGAACAGTTCGTATGGGAAAATAAAATTGTTATTTGTACTATTTTCCATGCAATTTCATCATATTTTCTCACCGATCAAACCTTTCCTGGACTTCCACGAATATTTCAAGACTAAAATTAGCCAAACACATAAATGTTTATATTAACTTTCTTTAAAGAAAAATTATTTCTGTTGTATTTCAGAACTTATTTAATAGACTGACTGAGTCGGCGTGGGACTAATCATCAAGGAACAATTTGAAGAATGGAATACGATTATGAGCTGTTCTAGGGCACTACTTGAAGAAACCGTTACATACTGTGATTATTTGATATTTTTAAAGAGTTATTATAAATAAGCGTCTTGCTTTAAAAATGAAGATATTTGCATACAACCTTTCATCTCCCTTTTTTACCCCTTACAACAATTTTTCGTTTTTGTTTATAGAAACTATTTACGCAATATAGTGTATTGGTAATTTTGCAATTAAATTTAAATAGGCGTTCATGAGTACTTTTAACTATTTATATCATAATCAAAGTTATAATAATGGTATTACAAACAGTATAATAACTGATAGTATAAAATTAATACAACTAAACACATAAAGAACCGACATACAAATATAATACATAAAATATTATCCACCACAACCTTAATAAAGAAAAAGCCCCTCCGATCGATCCCCCGTCCAATTCAAACGGGGATCGAAATTACGACGGCCTGAGCCGAGGTTCGAACCCCCTAGTGGTGCTCTCAGACTAAAGTCGTATCCGTCAGGCGGGAGTTGGCCTTCAGCCGCTCCATAAGTCCTTCCGCGGGTTTGGAGTGCCATCTGCACTCGCCCCTAACGTCCGGTGAAGCTGTAAAGGCCAGCTACGGCCAACAGCATTAGAGTAGACCGAAAAAAAAAATAAAAAGACTAACTGTAAGACTAACGGACTGATGTTTGTAGCGCGTTGTTTTTACCTCACCACTGTAGATGTGATGTTATCTGGAGTATCTGCCAACACTCTACACCCTTCCATTAGTACCTCACTAATGGAAGGGTGTAGAGTGTTTTTTAACTTTTGATACAAGTACATACTCTATCTGCCTCTAACCAATTTGGTTTGGGTAATCAATTTGGTCACAACTCATTAATTCATTAATTGCATTTAAGTCAACTAATTTCTTGTGTTTGAATAGATGTTTAAATATTATTTATGATAAGCTATGTATTATTTAATGTTACAAGTGCAATAAAGCATATATATAAAAATGTATAATTAATATAATTTTCTTTCTTTTGAAACTAACAATTTTGGTAACGACTTAAGTAGGTAACCATTTGACGTCTTTGAGTGTTGCGGTAACAAAAACAATCTTTTATAATCATAATAATGGTAAAGTTTATGTACGACAATAAAAAATAAAAATGAAAGACAAAATAGTTTTAAAAATGTCATTTATTGACTTTCAATTAAGTTTAATATTGATAGGTATACAATTTTTTTTATTTTTATATGCTTCTAATATTTATATAATTATACTATACAATTTCGTGGGTGTGTCCTCGTGTTTTCATTCAGATTATGCGCCATTTCAATGTTTTCTAGCAATTCTGAAATAAATAGTTGCGTTAAAATTTGTAATAATCAATACATATACCTAGATATATCATTAGCGGACTCCGCAAATGTTGGTTTGCCATATAAATTAAAATCGCTATTAAGAAATAGGGATCCATGGAAGAAGGTTGATAATTTAAGACAGTATGTATTTTTTAATGGCAAATTATAAAAAAGGTTTGTCCAATAAATAAAAAAAATGTTAGGGATGAACAACTCTGATAACTTAAGGTATGTAAAATATATAATAGCCGATTCTCAGACCTACTAAATATGCATATAAAATTTTATAAAAATCGGTCAAGCTATTTCGAGGGAGTATGATAACTAATATTGTGACACGAGAATTTTATATATAAGAAGATAAAGCATAAAACAGGGTTCATATTGATCTAAATGTACCAATTATAAACATTTGTGACTGTAAACAAAGGAATGCAGTAAATATTAAGTATTAACTTATTAAAACCAAATAATAATTTGACATATTGGTCCTAAGAAATGACAACACTCCGGTGTTATATGAGAACACACTATAGCCATGAGAACTCATGTATATATTGTTTTTTATTGAGTTTTTGGGCTATTGTCAGGTGCTAAGACCTATAGCATTGCGACCAGAATAGATCTATCGTGCTCGCCCTTTTTCAAAATTCGCTACCTAGACCCATGACGTACAAGAATTGAAGGATATTCTTAAGAAAGATGGTTTTTATCCAACATCAATACCAGAGGTGAGTTACTTGATGCTTTTATACTAACCAACTGTCTACAATTCCTAATATCATGTATACAGACAACGGTGACCACTAGTCATAATTAATAAAAAAATAGATAAATTGTATTTCACCTGAGTTTAGGTGAGAAACGCCTCCTTCTTGTTTCATTGTTCTCGATTTCCTGGGCTGGTGTGTTCTCCTGTAAAAACAGTATGTTATCTTATAAAAGGTTTCTATGATCTTGACTTATATGACTTTAAACGGTCAATACTATGGCACATACCATAGTATTGGCCGTTTAAAGTACAGGCCTCATCCTCATCATCTTAGTGATTCGGAATGGTGACGTATGTGTGGTACAACGGGCATCACATGATTATTAGGGGGTCTGAGAGCTTTTTTGCCATACCAGAAACAAAATTTAATGAGCACATTTTATTAAACAGTTTTGTTCCTTTCTTTCCAGCCTTTCTTTTCATTTGAAAGAAAGTGACAAAAAATTAATATTTAAAAGGATTTTAAAGAGGTTTTAGTTTTTATGAGAATATGGAGCTATGTAAAGAACTAACCACTAGTGCTCCGGATAAGGGAACGATATCTCCCTTCGGTGGGCCATACTCCCTGAATCCAGGAGGTCCGTACTCTAGAAAACCTTCAGGGGCCTGAGCCAAGGATCTGGAATGAGATGTAAAAAATATTTTAATTATCTAACTCCGGAATGAAAAAATAGCTAAAAACTATCTCAATCATTTCAGCTTTGGAACAAAACAAACAAAATAAAACTAACCACTTCATAATCGATCCATTATTTTTTAATTGCTATGCCACAAACATTTTCCGTAATTTAGATAGTTATTGAAGTAAACAATCTTACCCAGAGCTCTCCACTGCACTCTTCACCGCAATTTTGCCTTCAGCAATTTGCTATAATAAAAAAAAACAGAATGAGATATTCGAAAAATTAAATCTATACAAATATTATAAAGATGTAATGTTGTTGAGTTTGTCAGGTTGTAGCGAGTCCTACAGAACCGAATTATTAAAAATTGATTTGAATAGAGGTTGGGATACAGATAACCACTTCGACCTCATTATAAAATAAAATGTCCCTCAAAAAAAAAATTAATTGAACATATAAAAATGAATTACCCTTTCCAATACTTTCTCATTTTCAATATTAACAATGGCTTCTTCAATATTCTTGACTCCCTCTACGACAGTGTTAACTTCTTGCTCCACCTCTTTCTGTATCCTTGCTTCCACGGCAGCAACTTCTGCGTTATTAACTATTATTGCTGCACTGCGTTCTGTAGCATCAACTGCTGTTTGCACATCATCTTCAGTATTTCCAATAGAAGCTTCAATGTCAATATTAAGTGATTTTCCTTGAATTACAGATTTTACAGCAGTTTCAGTGGCTTCATTGGCGGACTCTGTAGTTCTCTCTTCAACTACTTGAGATTCGGTAGCTGCAACTTCGTCGCTTGTTCTAAGTTCTCCTGTTACTGAAATGAATTCAAATATTGTTATGTTCTCATGAATATCTCATTAATGATAACCTCTATATAATCTGGATATGAGTCATGATTGGAGCGATTAAGAAAAATATTTCTTATATAATATGACCCTATAAATTTCTAAACAGACATACAAATACTTAATCTGAAGATGACTTTAAAATTATCAATGCAGCCGATGCTAGGGTTGGTGTGATAAATATATAATAATAAATATATATATCACGTTAAGCTAGCTCTTGTGTTATGGCAGATAACTGATACAAATACATAGATATTTTTTTTTGTAAATACATACATATTATACAAACAATACACCCACACGGAAACAAACAATCATACTCATGAATACAAATGTTTGTGCCGTGCGAGGAATCGAACCCGCGACCATCGGTCGTAAATTGGACCACCGAGGTCACGGCTTCGGCGGTCTAACTCTTGAACACATCGCATTACTTCCGATTGTCACGGGTTCGATTCCTCGTACGAAACAAACAAACTATAAATATGATTTGTTGTATTGGTCTGGGAGTTTTCTATGTATGTATTTATGAAAACACAATACTTAAGTATTTCTATCAGTTGCTAAAGTAGAGCGTGTATTAGCTATGTATAACTCTCTAGCTCTCTTTAGATTGTGACCAGATGGCGCTTTGTGAATACTTTAGGATAACATTTATAATACCTTCTACAGCTACATCAGATCTAATTTCTGCATTTTCTGTCACAGCACTGCTAATTTCTTTCACGTCGTCATTGAATCTGGCTTCAATTACTGCGAAGGCTTGTTCTGTGATGACTTCAGGTAGACTTTGCCTTGTGATGTCTTGGATAATCTCTTCGTTCTTGGGTGGGCCGTATTCGCGTAAGAAATCTGAACCGGATGCTTCCGTCTCTTGGAATATAACATCTTTTAGTGGATTATCTTCTGGTTTCTGTTGGAGATCAAAGCATTGTAAATAATATACACTCGCATTTAATAGAACTGTTATTCTATTAAATGCGAGTGAAGTTAATATAGTACGTTGCTTTTCCAAAATAACATCAGGATTCAATTCTAGGTTGGGCAAATTTAGAAACCTTTGACATTGCTTGCTGCTTTTTTATATCATTGTGCATTCAGAGTTTGCTTAATTTAATTCTTATAATACAGGGATAAGTGTGAGTTTTAATACATTTTTCTTAATGATTTTTATTAAACTTATTCTCAACTTTAATACATACCTACATAACATAAAAAACCCATATTACAAATAACAGCATACTTGTATGCAAAATGACAGATAGAGAAGACTGATAAAAGGAAAAGAGAAATGTCAAGATAGACAAATTTAAAATAATGATAAGTGTGTGAACAACGTGGGAATTACAAGCAAGTAAGTTTACATCGAGTCTGGTAAGAAAAGGTAACATTACCTGTTGAGTTTCTGACGGCAAATAAAAGGCTGGACCCTTAGGCCTCCATCCACTGGGCAGGTAAGGTCCAGATCCTAACGCTGCAGCGGAAGTTACGGCGATGACGAGAAAAGCGAAAGCCTGAAACAAGCCAAAAAGCCAATTAATAATGATTCTGAAGACAATAATCATTTGACTTAATGATGATGAATTATTATACCCCTATATCTATATTTATTATTGATGGTAATGAAATGCATCGCCTGCGATAACGGTTTACGTTAGCAGAGCACCAGTGGAGGATAATAAGATGAGTATGAGATCAAGTCAATTAACCGATGGTTACGTACTCTCCGAGAAATATCTATACGAAAATTATAAAACTAAAACCACGATAGTTGTTTACAAGGGAGACCGTATGAAAGTCGACCTGGCATATTATTGGTAGAAATGAGGTACCATTAGTCCCTATTAATAACACCTTCCACCTCCCGCAGTTCCATATTACCTGTTTCTGGACACCCATTGTTTAACACTAAGCTTATAAACTCCGATCGATTAAATATATTAAGACGATTACAATAAAGAATGAAAAACAAACTGTAATAGTGACTAAAATAATAATCTGAAATTCGCTTATAAATACCAAACGCAGTAGTTGAGTTTGAAACGCCGATAAAAAAATATACAATAGTTAAGATTCTTGCTAGTTCTATTTAATGGAAGTAGCGAGTCGAACTTGACTGTAGAATTCAAACTAGTAAACAAAAATTCATATTTAAATTTGTATAATATGAGTCTACTACAAAAATCTGTCCACTATGTAATGATCATGTTACAAGTATATACGTATGTATTAATTTTGCCAAATGAGCCACTTTCCAACTTAAGCGTCTTTTTCATTCGATTAAAATATATTTAAAAAAATATTCCCGCCAAAATTTTCACCCAAACAATAAAAATGTAGATTAAACATATTTGAAATATAATTAATACCACAGATTAAATAATAATATGCAAAAAGAAAAACTTTTTTTATATAAAAGTAGTGAAACGCTTTTATTCTTTTTTTTTTTAAATAAATGTACACTCTCATCACACACAAAATTATTTTACTAATTAATTGGTATGAATTTATTAATCCAATAAATTATTACCTTCATTTTGAGATCTTTGGAATAATGCTCAAAATTAAATGATGCTCGATGACAATTTGATCTCGTTTTTATATCGACGTGATTATTAAAAAAAATGACCCACAGACATCAAGGCCTAGTGTACGCAAATATTTGATTTATATAAATCCGATTGTGCAATTTTTAATGCGAATATTTAGTAGGGTCGAAGGTGATTTAATTTTGTCTGATGTATTGTCTAGCTTCCTATTTATGTATCTATTTTGAAAATAAAAGAATTCGGCAGTAAATTAAATAATAAACCATATTAAAATGATATGTTTATACGTCGACAATAGAAAAAAATCTAAAGTGACATCTTAATCTTAATCTTAATACAATATAAATAATAGTAGGTATATGATATAAATTTTGTAAGTATAAATGTTTGTTACTCTTTCACGCAAAAACTACTGAACGGATTTTGATGCAACTATACAGTAATATAGCTTATATATCGCATCGCGGGCACAGATAGTATTCTAGAAAAATATACAATATATAATGCTGGCCACGATGGCCAGCATTATAGTTTCAACAATCTTTTAGGGTCGAAGGTTCGATGGTAAATGATTACCACCGCTCATGAGCAAGCCCTCTGAATCCAAAATATTTACAGATTCATAAGAAGTCTAAATTTATGTACCAAATTTTTTTACATTGCAATTTTCGAACTATTCTAATGCTGTTGGCCGCCATCTTTATAATACGTTAATACTCGTAAGCCATTTTTGAAAATCCCAGCAGTAAGATCTCTTGAGTAACAGACTTAGTCTCCTGAGAAAACCTAGGCAGGTAGTTCATTCTACAATCTGAGTGTACACTGAGTCTTATCTTGAACGGGAGAGGGAAGAAAAACTTCTGAAACAACTCTATTGTGTTAACTTAGTTTCCAGAGTATCTGGACCTGTAGCGAGAGATAGGTTGCGTATTCCCAAAGTGGTCGATATCAACTCAAATGTTTACAAAAATGAAACTAATTTCGGGGGCCAACAATATCTAAAAATTGACCCTAACTCACTAACTTATTACAAAAATTACGAATATTTATTAAGATGTTATAAACTCAACAAGTTTGCGATAGTTCCTATAACAGACTCGTAGTCTAATGAATTAGTATATTGCCCTACTTCCGATGGTCGCAGGTTCGATTCCTCGCACATTACAAATATTTGTTTTCATTAGCATGATGCAGTGCATGCAAGCAGCATTAGTATGGGTGTTTTTTTATGTATTTACAAAAAAAGACATGTATTTAATTATTCCTAGCAGTTATATCCGATATTGGGTCTAAGGTATAACTTCATTTTAGAAAGGTGGTATTGCCCATAATAATTTGGATGTCCCTATAATACATTCTAGAAGCTAAGTTCTTGTCTCAGGAACTTGCTTTGTAATGTGGGTTTCGGTTCTAGGATTTGAAGCTACGTTTCGAATGTAAGGTGAGATCAGGCAGTGAATATCATCAAAATTTATACTAATATATTATAAAGCTGAAGAGTTTGGTTGTTGGTTTGAACGCGCTAATATCAGGACAGTGGTTCCTGTTCGAATTACAAAATTATTTTTGTGTTGGATAGTCCGTTTATCGAGGAAGGCTTTAAGCTATTATAACATTACGCTACGACCAATAGGAGCGGATCTGCAATGAAAAATATTGCAAAAGGTGGGGAATGAAACGCAGACGAAGTTGCGCGGATCAGCTAGAACAAGATAAGCTGCATGACAGCTCAATGCTCTGGAATGGTAACACATAAGGTATCACAGGTGTCACTTGATAACGTGATGTCTTTAGTGTTCATGTAGGTGATTGTTATGGCTTACTATCAGGCGAGCAGTCAGATATTCATTTAGATAAAAAAAAATACATTTTGGTCACCTAGTTTTTGTCATGACCGGAAATGACGTGTCGTGTTGTAGGAACGTGTGTTCCCAAGGTTTAAAGCAGATCACTGTCAAATATTTGTCGATTTTACGGTCTAAACGATTTACATACAACATAGATTTGATTATGAAGTTACGTAAGGCTAATGAGGCGGCCGACAGCAAAGTGGGTGTAAGTACAAAATATTTAATTTTTATTTTAGAACACTAAAATTTCGTTTTCTCTATTTTTATACTATATTATCCTAGTTTGTAATAATTATTTTAAAACGAAAGTAACTTAATAGATATGTGTCTAGGACGCTCTACAAACCCTCGACGCTTAAGCGAACGCATAAAAACACAAAGGAAATGACAAAAATTCTAAAAATAATATTACTATTATAATGTAATACTATGCTAATACTAATATTTTCTATTAATTATATCTACCATCAGACAGCGTTCATAACAGCTACATTTTTATTATAGGTATCTTTAGATGATTAAGTGAATATATAGCAAAATATCCTAATAAAAAAAATGTACAAGTTATGTTTCTTTCCCGTTTTTCTCAACTGAAGTAGCTAATCGAACTAAGCGGTAGGGTTAGTGATAAAAAATATGAGTTGCTCAAGAGGCCGAATGGTCCTATCTAAATAAATAATTTAAACATTGGATTTAACATCATGTCCATTTGTATTTTTTAATTTTGCCGTGTGTGCCGAACGATTTATAAATCATATATAAATCGTCGTTTAAAAGATGAATCGTCCATCTAATAAAATGTAAAAAGCAGACTTACATCGCTTTACATCTCTGATAGTAATAGTATTAAGTGTTTGCATTGTATTAATTGACTCATACAATAATTTGTAGTTATGTGTTTACATAGTGTACAAGCATGTCTGGCATTAGTCGCCAAGGGAGTGCCAAGTTGGTAGTAGAGCCACAGATTATATCAGTTTTTTTAAATCTAGGTATGATAATGGAATGGTACCCCCGTGTACCAGTGGGGCACCAGTGGAGGGTTATAAGACGAACATGAGGTCTGGTAAGTTAGCCCATCGTGAATTTATCACGATATGTCCTATGGGAAACTGTGTGGAGGGCAACCTGACATGGTACATTGCTATTATATATATTGGTCATCAGTCCACATATACATTAACAATCTCCTTTCCATCAGTAGTATGATCTGGGGTAGAACTGACCATCATACTCAGGAACCTAAATATTTATACTGTCCGAAGATTAAAAACCGCGACCATTGATAATAAATAAAACGCTGGACCACCGATATTCATGTACATTTAAAATACAAGTAAGAATGAAGCATAAAATTGGCACCGGGTTTCTCATCATCCATAAAAAAGATGTTATATTATACTAGGTGAACAATGAAATGCAAAATATAAAGTAAAAGCATTTTATTTGTAAAATTTTAATACAATTGCGACTTCCTCTGGTTTTTTTTATTACTATTTTATATTCTGCAGCTTAAAAAACTATACAATTTTGTACATGCGTGTGCCGTTTCAAGAAAAAAATAAATACCTAAACCATAATTATCACAAAGTACATTGTAAAATGTGGCATATAATGAGGGTGATAAGGTTTATATTAAGTCAGAAACCATGTCGCCCGTTGCCATGGTGATTGCCGCCATTGCTGCGGACATTGTTGGCGTTGGAATCGTAGCCATTGGAGCGGCCGAATGAATCTGATTCGCCGTCCTCGTACGAGATTTGGGGCTTGAAACCACGCTCATCTGCTTCGTAGCTTACAGTCTGAAAAAACAAAAAACGAATCAATTCACAGAACTAACAAACTCACTGAACTAAACCTAAGTCTTTTTTTATTGATTAGTTTTACGGCCCTGAATTCCCTTTGAGCCAAACATATTCAGTCACCGGCAGAGTTCCTAACCAGTGGAGTAGTCCGAAAAGATCGCTCTAACAACGCGATGGGACATGCCCTACACCATCTTCAGGGCAGGCCTATACCGCCGGAGTCGCGGTAAATGCTTACGCGACCTCGGCAATAGCGCACACCATGTGGTGTTTATGAGGGTAAGAATCTTTTATACTCCCTTGTCACCCTTAAGACGGGGAGACGGTCTTTTAAAGACACTTCCACACGACAAAAAAAAAGAGTTGCCAACGCAAACACATAACTTCGTACAGAAATATAAATTATCTGATATAAACTCGTACATTAGCTCAATTTGGCTCTCTAACCTCGTACAGACAAATACCAGCTGGTACGAGAATTATTATGTCGCTGTACCGATGCCCAAAAATCTAGTATTTGTAATTGTTCTCCTACGGTTGGTACTCTTGGTTGCTGGCTTTATTCAAATGCCTAAGCCTAAACTCGACTAGTCATGGTAATTATATATTTAACTATTCTTATATTAATGATCACAGCTGGGGAATGGGGTTGCAGCACAGAATGGGGTCGACTGAAAGCCAATTCCCACTTCAGATTCAGAGACACCGCTATCAAATCTTGACTCAGGTTGTGGTAATGTCGAGCTCCATTGATATGACATAGGAGATAGATCAGATGGGCCAATATTTATGAAGAGGAGTGGTATTGCTCTAGCATTTCTTCCTGTTGCCATTTATATCCTACCTGCTTTCTCCCATCAGGTAACACAACATGGTACTCTCCCATAGCTTTCTCCTCCTGTCTCTCTTCATGGTGCCCAAAATCAGTACCCTCTTGGTGATCATTCACCATGTATCCAAAGTTGTAGTTTGCGGGTTCCTGTTATACAGAATATAGTATAAGTACTATTATTTTTTTATATTTAAATTTATATTTTATATATTTCATATTAAAAACAATAAATATATTAAGTACTTATACTTATTCTGTATTTTGAATATATTTTTCTACTCAATATAAGAAGAATTTAAAGTTTATGTTTGTAAACGAATCGATTTGAAAGAAGATAGAGATTGTAAATGTAAAAATGTAAAAATGAAAAGAGCATGCTTTAAATGTCGGATGAAGGTGCCAGAGGAGATCCGGACTGACTGTAGATATACAGTTCATCAGTCTTCAGATTGCTGAATGTACTGATCCCCAAAGTGCGCATTTGAGCAACCAAATAAAATGATACGAAGCAACCAATACGCCAATCAAATTAGACTGTTGTTATATTATTTGATGAAGTAATTGAGAGTCTTCGAAACTGTCGTATATACGAACACATGAGACACAAAGTAAATGATTTTTTGGAAAAATAATGAGAAGATTGTGTTGATGATGTGGAAACAGAAATGTTGGACGAATTACAGGGAAGTCATGCAATGGTTACTAACAGTAGAGAATTGGAAGGACTTACTGGATTGGCATCATCAAGTGAGTTCCTGCCAAACGGAGCCGCATTCCGGTCGTAACCTTGGTCTCCGTTGTTTGAGAATCTGCCTTGAGCGTGTCCATGGGGACTACTTCTGGTGATTAAAGTACATATTTATGTAGATTATAAATAAAAAATAGAAATAGTTGAGATTCAAATAAGCTTAATGTAAGCACTTTTGAACAGTTATATTTTTTGGATTCTACCACTCATTCGGAACGCAGACTTATCACAAGAAAAATGAACAAGAAACTTGCGTGTTGCTCTTTTAAATAAATGTAGTTCTGAATTACATTTTTAAGAATTTTGTTTGTTGTTTAACAATAACATTGAAGTGGAAACAATTGTTGCGGTAAAGGAAAACATACTGAGTTCATTAAATTCCTGTACAAATGTAGTTATAAAATACTAAAGATAACCCGATAAAAATTTTGCTGTTAAATTAATAAACTTGTATTTAAAAGATAGAAGTTGGTGGTAGAAGGGTAAGTGTTTAGATCGTATATATTTTGAAAGCCGAATCATAAAAAAATCAATATTTTTTACAAAAATTATAGAAAAAAAATTGGGGTGGACCACTCTTATCACTTACGAGTATAAACGTTTGATTACGTCTTATTCTCAGACCTACTGAATATACACACGAAATTATAACAACTGGCCACTTCAAAGGAGTTTTGTTACAAACATGAGAATTTTATAACAGATATTATTATTGGTTTATAAACAAGCTCATAGTATTTACCTGGCAAATCCATTGCCCTGATGATGGCTGTGAGGGTTATGTTCTTCTTGACCTCTGGCGGATACCAGTTGCGGTCCAGTACCCTGGTAAGGTCCGCCCTGGTTTCCAGAAGGTGGTGGGAGGTAACTGGAAGTAATAAAATTACAAGCTAAAAAACACATCTCTACTTTATATGTACCTATATATCTTTTTATTTTTAAATGTACTGCCCACATAGATTTCTGTTTGCCCAATGGTTGACTGGAAGAAAATACCTCATGGTGTATATTTGTGCATAAAAGATTTAATAAATAAATATGTAATGTTGGCTGGTAGAGAATACCATCAGGCATTAAATCTGCCATGTATACAATTTTGTGTGCAAAAGAATAAATAATATTTTGTTTTCTTTCCTAAATTTCTTTCGTTTTATTTCTCTTATCTATTGTTTTAGTGAAATAATTGTGGTATGGTACCTGTGAGACGGTGCCGGCGGCGGTTCAGCCACGATAACAGCGACGAGGAAAGCAACAGCAAGTATGGTCTGAAAATATTAACATTTTTATAATCAACACCATCACCTGCTTCTTCCTTATCCCATTTATTTGGTGTCGGCGTATCTTTTTATATATTTTTTTTAATTTATAATCATCACCATCCGTAGAAATTAGGTCAGCGGTATATCTATACATATAAATAAAATTGCAGTGTCTGTTTGTAATATTGAAATAACCGTTTATTACTACATACATATGAATATAAATACGGTACATACACCAAAATAACATTTTTTACAATTTTTGTCTGTCTGTCTGTTTGTTCCGGCTAATCTCTGAAATGGCTGGATATATTTCGACGGGATTTTTATTGGCAGGTAGCTGATGTAATAAGGAATAACTTAGGCTACTTTTATTTTAGAAAAATAAAGTAAAATTCCACGCAGACGAAGTCGCGGGAATAGCTAGTTTTTTTATATAAGTGGAATGGCAAACAAATTGAATTTGTTGAACAATAATATGAACACGTTTAATATAATATTCCCACATTTTACTATTTGGAAGTCGAAACCTTTATCCATTTAAACATTATTTATTTGTAATACCTTTTAAATTTGACTGCATATTATAAAAAATAATGACAAAGTGCGAAACTTATATGAAACAAAATAATATCTAGACAAAGTATGTTGTAAGGTACATCTTGTATCTAAGTTGGTTTCATGAATGTCATATGGTGTTACAATCGTGCTTATCTCATTAGTCTGTATTTATAAATACTATTTGCTATTTTTTTTATACGATACGTTCGCGGATTTTAATGACTTGATGACGTCATCTGTCTGTGACAATACTCTTGCTTCAAATTGTCGTTCAGGTCTTAGACTATGAGAACGGTTTACCATAAGGCGGGTCGTATGTTTGTCTAGTAATGATAATTGACATCGCGTTCAAATTTTGCACGGCTTAATATATTTTACATGCAATCTGTCTATCTCGAATAGTATATCAAACCACTCAAATGAGAAGATATTTTGTAAATAGTTAGCAAGGTTCAAAACTCTATCTATACTGCTTCTAATCTAATCTAATCCTTATTTGTTTATTTTTAATATTAATCTTTCCCAACTTTATCACTACATAGTATAAAACAAAGTCGCTGTCGCTGTCTGTTCGTCCCTATATATGCTTAAATCTTTACAACTACGCTACGGATTTTGAAGCGGTTTTTTAATGGATAGAGTGATTCAAGAGGAAGGTTTATGTATATATGTATATACATGTACACCCGTGCCAAGCCAGGGCGAATAGCTGGTAGCCTATATGTTGATTAAGTTTAACAAATTGTTCTCTGAAAATTTCACAATATTTTTCTCAGCCATTTTTAATTAAACATTAACAGACAAACAGATTGTGACAATTTTACGATTTTATTATATGTAAAGAAAATAATCAGTTATTAGTAATAAATAGCAACTTTATAAAATACATAAATTTATTAATAATATTAATGTAATAATAATTAATATTAATAAATACCTTCATTTTGTAATAGATCCTTAGACGAATTTAGGCTATTGAATGTCACAATGTACCAAGTCTTGTAACTTTTATAGCAAACGTCTCGTTACCAGCGAGGTAGGGGTTGAAAAATCACATGTCATTAGCTACATAATAGACGAGCTTTCAAGGTGCCACGGTGCGTTAGAACATAGAAAGACGTGGAGTAGCCGAATAGATAATTTGTGGTTAGTGATAGAATAAAAAAAGATACTTATTTGATATAAGCACTGAAATTCAAATATTATTTGGTAGATTCATTATTAAGTAAATAATAAATATATCAATAAGTAGGAAAAAATTACAAGTACCTACCAGGCGAAAAAACCGATGAACTGACTTAACTGACTGTATTGCTCAAAATCGCAGGTCAAGAAAAACTATTTTCTTCGAAAGTATCGAATTTCAGAAAAAAGCCTATAATTTTCTTAATTTAATAATAATATCTCAGGACAATTCACACAGTGTCTTCTAGTCCCACGCTAAGCACAGCTTGTACGCGGGACAACTAATCTAAATACACATAGTATACGTGAAAAACCTAGTATCGTACGAGGAATCGAACCCGGGACTATCGGAAGCGAGGCGGTGTGCTAAACCGCTACACCACCAAAACCTGTTTTTAATATGTTAATAATAATAAAATAATCTATATTACGATTTCTATTCACATAGTAAAATAATTTATTGCGTATGAAGTCTCCATAGGTATCTCTGTGCCGACAAAATCTCACTCAAGGATGTGACGAACTGACGACATGTCATGACAAACGCAGCTTCCTAATTCTGCATCAGAACTACATCCTAACCTTACTCTTAAATTCTCAAATTAACCATAATCAGGAAGGTGAAACTGCAACTTCAACGACATGAAGCATAGTGTCACGACGATAATTACGTATGACCCCAAATGTAATTAACAGTTATAAGCCATGCATTGGCTAATATTTGATGAGGGTTATGATTTATAAACTGTAATAGTATGAGATATGTTAGGGAAATAGTCTTCAGGAATAACAATGCATGGGAGCACCACAATTCTTTTTACACCGCCTTACCTCCGATGGTCGTGGATTTGATTCCTCATACGATATTTGTATTCATGAGTAGGTACTATTGTTTGTACTGGTATGGGTGTTTTTATGTATATTACTAGCTGCTCGCCCCGGCTTTTCACGGGTGTACATGTATTATATATATAAACCTTCCTGTTGAATCACTCTATCTATTAAAAACCGCTTCAAAATCCGTTGTGTAGTTTTAAATATTTAAGCATACATGCGGACAGACAGCGACAGCGACTATGTTTTATATTATGTAAAAAATGATGAATGCGTTAACAAAGAAAATGTGTTTAAGTATATCTATGTTGTGTTATCTAGTACCCATAACACTTCCAAGCTAAATAGAGCTTCTATTTAGCTTGGAACTTAGATGGCGCTGTGTAAGTTGTTCTGGGTTATTATTGGTAGAGTATTTTGAATAGTCATACTCACTAAAACGTCCAGATATGTAGCGGCGTGGTGTGCCGGGTTATTGGGCTGGGATAGCTTGCTCATCCATCATACTCGTGAACGAGTACGGCTTATAGGGAATGGTCTGCTCTAGTTACTACGAGTGATAGAATCTTATTATGTATGTATTTAATATCTTTATATTTACATAGGTTTATATTTATGTTAAAAATACAATACAACATAACAATATTATTAACTTAAATTAAAAACCTTAAAAAATATAATATAATAACTAAAATATATTATTAAAAGGAGATAAAGATAAAGATGTGTCAACTTTAATATCTTGATTTTAACGAATTAGTGGTAATTAGTAGTTTGTATTCACACATTTTAACAACATTTATTCAAAAGAGCAAAACGCAAGTTTCTTGCTCGTTGTTCTTGTGATGAGACAGCTTTCCGAATAATCGGAAGCTTAGAAACTGTGATTATTTAAAAGATATTAAATTAAAATTTACTTGATTAATTATTATTATTGAGGGGAAAATAGAAGGAAAGAGGGGGAGGGGGAAGACCAAGGAATAGCTACATCAAACAAATTGAGGACAAAATGGGAGTCGTGTCGTATCAAGAATTAAAGAGCATGATGGAAGATCGCGAAAGTGGCAAGAGCTCCACCGACAAGAGCGTAGCTCTTAAATTATGAATGAATGAATGAATGATTAAATTATTTCTATTCTTTTTCAGTTATTATTTATTACAGTTTAGGAGCCAGAGTCCTGTCGGTGGTATAAGGTAGATCATTAAATATATATACAGAAATAATATACTTTTATTTGCATTATACAGTAAAAGTAAATAGGTATATTAAAGTATCAAATAAGTACATCTATGTATATAAATACAATCATTGATAAACTAGTCAGAGCATTGTAAACTGTCGAAGACTGTGCGCAGTCGTCTGCGTCTGTACCTCAGTCTCACCTATTTCAGTCACCAAACAGTGGCTTACTTTGTAATATGTTTTTCGGTTGTAGGATGAATATTAGACAGTGAAATTACAGGTTAAGAGTCATGACGTCATCATAATCCTCCAGAGTGGTAACGCATGAGTGGTATCACGGGTATCATATGATAACGTGATGACCGTAGTGCTGTTTATGTAGGCGCCGGTTACCACTTACCATCAGCGACCGTCAGCTTGTCTGCTATTTCAATTACATGAAAAAGATATACTAGCTTTTTTCCGAGTGATATCGTTTAGAGATTCCAGGGGAATTTAATTAAAAAATAATGACGCAACTGTACATGTATATACAGTTTCGTTATTTTTTATTTTCTTTTATTCTGTACTAGTTATCCCGCGCAATTTACTTGACATGTATCATTATGTATACATAATATATTATTGAATCATAACCTATGTGTTATTCTAATATATAAGCTACATTACTGTAAAGTTTTATCCAAATCCGTTGAGTAGTTTTTGCGTGAAAGAGTAATAAACATCCATCCATACCAACAAACTTTCGCGTTTATGATATTAGTAATATTCATTTCGTATTGCTAACCAGAAGCTTACTTGAAAACTAGTAAGCTAAAGGTAAGGCAACAAGAATAGGAGGACGCTCTCAACTAGATGATTTTTTATGTGTGTTGCCTCAGTTCTTTTTTCTAAGTGAATCAATATAGATGATTATATCAGTCTACCTCAGTCTATAAATACCCGACAAGTATCTATATGTAATGAAAACGTCTCTGAGGCCCCAACCATACAAGAACATACAGTATATACTTACCGATTCTATTTGAGGACAATTGTTCTGGAAAATGAAGTTCGAGGTCAAATAAAAATAGTTTAAGTAAAAAAGTCTACATACCCAACTATAACGCGACTAGATACTCGTACTTATAATATATTTTTTACGCAAAGCCTGCGACATATTTTGTTTTTTTATTTATTTATTTATATATGCATTTACCATAAATTTACAAACAATAAATTAACAAAATACACATGAACTCTATTTAAAGAGTTCTGAGACTCTGTTTCGTAGATCTCATTCCATATTTTAGTCGTCAGTTTTTTAGGACGAAATCAAATTTAAAATTTTAGTCTGCTTAAGTCCTATTGTGCGTCTGCCAAAAAATCTTTTACAGTATAATAAATAAGTCTCAGCAGTCAATAGTTCTTTAAGACTTTTTTAAGTAAATTAAATTCTCTTCTTAATTAAATCTTAATAGTAGGGATTTGCTCTAAACATTTGTAAACATTTTGGGTTCTGGAAGTGCTAGTTGGTTTTTAGTCTAAAATACGAAAAATGCGTACGAACAAATATAGCTAGCTATCTCCAATATATAAATCGAAGGTAAAGTCAATATGTATATTTTTTCAAATGTGGTTTACAACTTTCAAGTCGTGCATACACTTATACTTACTATAATTATGGCTATACTTTTAATATAATTCTGACTTAGCATAAAGTTTTATAAAAAAAGGTCTAGCGGATCTCAGCATATGCAGTGCTAGAGATTTCGAACACAGTAGATAAATTTGGAAAGCTTGGGAAGGCAGAATTTTGGCTAGAAACGGATTTTTTCTAGGAGATCAAGGCACTATGTAACGAAGTTATGAAAATCATTCTAAATTATTATGTATTAAAATCTACAATGTTGCAGTTATGTACGGAAATATTAGGTAAAAAAGTACCCTACCGCATCTGTCGGACTACTGAAAGGATTTTAATGTGTTTTTCATATGTCAACAGACTCACTCAGAAATTTTAAAGTAAATTTCGAAGCCGAGGCGGATTTCTAGTATTACATAGTACAGACGATTTAACTACTTAATGCATGTGATTCTTATGTTTACAATCTTATTATTAATATTATAAATGCGAAAGTTTGTAAGTATGGATGTTTATTACTCTTTCACGCAAAAACTACTCAACGGATTTTGATGAAACTTTTCAGTAATATATCTTAAGCATCAGAATAACACATAGGCTATAGTTTATACTGAAATTTAACGCGGCTGAAACCGCTAACACATCTAGTAGGTAACTAATATAAATATTGTAATAGATGATTTTTTTATGGTTGCGTTTAAATGTGTACCTATAAGTATAATATGTGTGTGAGTCAAATACATGGTAATGTGTGTAATGTTTTTTTATTGAATTAAAGTATATTTATGTAAATTTCAAAAATATATCAGTATTCTGCACTCCTTCTCTATTTAAACTATACGTGTGCGAACTTTCATACTCCGGGGTACGCGCAACTTTCGTAAAAAGGGGTACAAAGTTTCTTCCTTCAAATATTTATATGTAGATACAAATTTAGTTATTAATATTTTATATAACATTTGCATTGCATTATTATTATTATAATTCTATTTATATACTTATTCGGATTATTTATATACTTAGTGGATTGACAGTCAATTTTGTTTCCAAATAACTTTTTATGTAGGTACCTAATACTAGACAATACATTTGACCTATCATAGGAGTCTAATAGACCTACACGAATAAAGATATTTTGAGTTCATTGATTTGATCTGACTATTTACCATTATATAATATGTTTGTGTGAATCTAGTAATACAGATCAGATTGGAATAGATTCCGCATAATTAAAAGATATTAATTTCCAATAATTTCAGTATCGAAGTAATTATATTAAGTTTATTAGAGTAAAGATTATTTCTCTTTTCCAACAAAAAAAATCACCATTTTGTAGATATCTAATAACTTCACTAAACAGATATTACTTACTGTAATAGGAAGCATAGGTACCTATTTTTTTCCTTTTATTTGTTTCACTGACATTATTATTTCCTATTAACATATTGACTTCAGCTGCGATTCGATGTTCAAAAGTTTTTGTAGGGCTAGTTGTGTATTAGATGTTTATTATATGTATATATATACATATACATTTACATTATAATTATATCTTTCGATATAGGAAACAAAACAAGTCTAATTTGTCAAACTTTTTTTTAGCAGGTTTAAATTAAAAACAAAAAATAAATAACACAAATAAAGTTATATTTGCTCGATAATTATATACAAACTACATCACAAGCGACTTATTAAAATAAAGAGATACATTTTATTTTATTTTATTAAATTTGCTATAAAACAATAAATAATTGAGTATTATAATCGTTGATCCATTATCATTCCGGTCCGTCTTATCAGATATATCTCACTAAACAGTATGTAGTTTAATTGAGATTTCCCATTAATCAAAACGCTGTTTTAAGCATTTTTTTTTAACATTTTTCATTAGCAATATTAACTATTATTTATCTTAATTATTTTTACTACTTTTATTTTAAAATAACCTAAACAAGTATATTACAAGTAAGTAGAAAAAATAATAAGATAAAAATTACAATAATATTCTACATATTCGATTATCACATCGATATTATGTGCATTCTGAAAGTAACTGAAAACTTTAAATAATAATGTATAAAAATAATATTTAAACAAACATAATAATAACCCTGCACAGTTCACACAGCGCCATCTAGTTCCAAACTAAGCAGAGCTTTTATGGGTACTAAATAACTTATAGAAATACTTAAATACATGTTTTTGTAAATACATAATATACATAGAATATATCCAAATTAAAATAGCATTTAAATATATATAGTATCTATTACAGAGTAAACTAATATGCATACTAATAAAGTATTTCCTATTAAAACATAATAAATAACATCGAGTGATAATAGAGCGCAATTCAGACCATGTTCTTTGCAATTGTCGATCTAGAATATTCCACTATTTATCTTCTCTTCAGTAGGGTCCATCAGCAGATCTGGACAGATCTGATGCGTTGTCATCGTAGCCAGCCCCGGCTGCACCGTCGGCTGGTTCCACTGAGATCCTGGGCTTGAAGCCTCGTTCATCAGCTTCATATTCCACCACCTAATAAATATATTGAATTTAATATTGGTTTTTATTGAATAGGCGGGAATCTTCATACGGATGTAATTATTGTAATAATAAATTAAAATAGAAAATATCTTTATTCATATAGGTCTATTACAGATACTTACGTCAAGACGAATTTACGATCTATATATGTGATAGTGTAATATGTACCTACCTACTGTAATAGATAATAGAGTCATGAAAACAAATCTAAATTCTAATCTTCCATAAGAAAATCTATAACCAAAATAAGATAAAATTGTGGCATAATAATAATAATTAGCCTGGAGAATTAACACAACGCCATCTAGTCCCAATCTACTCAGAGGTATTTATTACACAACTGATATAGATGATACTTAGATACATTTTTTTTAAATACACACATAATATAGTAAACACAAAGAGCAATTCAAACAATCATACTTATGAATACAAATGATCGTACTGTGCGAGGAATCGAACCCGCGACCATCGGAAATTAAGGCGGTGTGCTAAACTGCTAAACCAGGTGCCGTCAAGAAAAATTTGTATAGACAACTATTTCTTACCCATGTTTAAAGTAATTTTCTAAGCTGATTTTTGTTTTAATAAGGTAAATGTTTTTAGTTCATCTAATGCAAACGCTAAAGCAAATCTTTTGTTTTTACACTATTAGTTCAAAATACTTCATTAAGAAAAACCTTTTCAAACACTTTTTCTTTGAAATATGACACTTGATTAATGAATAATGCAAATATTACGTTAGATAACATTGAAACATATTTTATCAGGCGTTACCACACACCAGAATAACACTGCAAATATCATTATATTTACATTAAATACATATTAAAGTACATACTTTTTGATTTTTTTATATGATATATAAAAAAATCTAAAATTATCTGTCTGTTTATTCTTACTAATCTATAAAGGGCTAGACTGATTTTGATGGGACTTTCAATCGCAGATACCTAATGTTATTAAGAGTAACTTAGGCTACTTTTATTTTAGATTTTTTTTTACTCCAACGTTGTCATTCTGGACGACTAAGATGTTATACCTCTTATCGTGCAATAAAGGCATTAGTGATGAATTGTTACCTGTTTTGTGCCATCAGGCAAAACGACGAAGTAACTGCCCTCGGCCCGGTTTTCTTGCCTACTTTCAGTGTGACCGAAGTCGCTGCCGGATATGTAATCATTCACTTTATACCCGAAATCATAATTAGCTGGTTCCTGAAAAATAAATAGTTCCATATTACTGAAATTGCAAGAAAAGTTGTAAGAAGAAAAAGAAGAATCAAACCCACGACCATCCCAAGTAAGGCTGTGTGTTTAACCGTTAGACTACTGAGGTTTTTTTGTAGCATAGGTGACAAATGAGCTTGCGGCTCACCTGATGGCAAGTGATCACAGCTGCCCATTGGCAGCCGCAACACCAGGGGAATGGCTTTTAAGAATGACTAAGCATTTTCTTGAAAGTTTCAATATTGTATTAGTTCGGAAATACAATTGTCATAAGGTAGTTCCACTATGTGGTTATGCGTGGTAAAAAGTTTCATGAAAAATGCACTATGGAGGAACGTCATTGATCCAGATTATAATTATTATGATAATATTTTAGTTTCTAGCAGGTGGTGGTGGTGAAATTCAGTAGCTGGTTTTAATCCAAATAATTCCTTCGAACACTCTCCGTGATATATGCGGTGAAAAGGCAGAGATGCAATGTCTCGCCGCACAACCAATGGTCGAGTCTCACAAAGACTCATAGAGACTCATTTAGAGATCGTCATAAACTATTAAACAACTTAGTTGTATACTAGGTTAAAATTATCACCAACCTGATTGAGCTGGTCATCAATAGAGTTCCTTGCGTAATTGTATCCTTGGTTGGACAGCGAGTTATATTGTTCAGGGACACCGTATTCCTCAGAAGGCATAGCATCACGGGCAGACGGTACTCCATATTTCGTTGAAGGTGATGACGACCTGTATAGACAGAATTACATTTGAAATTGGTATTTTGAGTTTAAAAATAAAAAAAATAATAATAATAATCTCAGGATAATTCAAACAGCGCCATCTAGACCCAAGTTAAGCCAGCTAAAGCTTTTGTTATGGGTACTAGATGACTGATACATAGTTTTTTTTGTAAATACATACACCAGACCGATACAAACAATCATACTCATGAATACAAATGTTTGTGCCGTGCGAGGAATCGAACCCGCGACCATCGGTCGTAAAGCGGTGTGTTAGACCGCTAGACCACCGAGGTCGTCAAGTCGTCAAAAAGAAGTATATATATTACAAAGTACAAAGGGGCGATTTTATTTCTTTTGTTTTCTCCTTTTTTATACAATACCTATCATCTCATCATCAGATGGCGCTGCTATTATTATTATGCGGTAAACACTGGCTCCGTATATTTCTGCTCTTCTTTATCTTTACATAGTATAAAGGAAGTCGCTTCCGCTGTCTGTTAGCTGAGATCTTTATACTACGCAACGAATTTTAATGCAGTTTTTAACAACAGATAGAGTGATTCAAGAGTATATGAGCCTGTATGAAGCCTTGGCCAGTAGCTAGTTGACTATGTATTTAAAAATAATTGAATTATTCCAAAAATATATGTTTATTTCAGTCTAGCAATATTAGAAACTTCTAAGCTAAGTTAGCCGTGGAATTTTAAAAGGGGGCTATTCTTTTAGCAGTTTCTTGACTCTCACAAAGTATTATCATATAACGTACACAACACCTTTATCCCCAGAAAATCGTAAAAGACTACCTACCAAGAGATCAGAATATATATGAAAATAAGGAGACTCGTTAAAAAATTTTATATCTGAGTTTGCTGGCTACGTTGGTATTATGAGAAGTGGTTAAGTTATTATTATAGTTAATTCATAATGATATATTTGGAACTCACCTGCTGGATGCGTATGAAGACGCAAAAGCATTAGTGCTCAAATCAGAAGCCCTGCTCGATGGTGCACCATACTCTTGGGAAAGACCTCTTGCACTAGGAGGAAGATATGAATCAGACACACCCCTTGCACTAGCAGAAGGAGCACCATACGACTGAGATAGGGACTTAAAGCCTTGGGAATAAGAGTTAGAGTTCCTTGATTCAGGTACGCCGTACTGTGTGGAAAGCGAACGAGATGATGGTGCGCCGTAAGACTGCGATGGGGCATTACGAGCACTGCCAAAGGAAGAGAAGCTTCTAGATGATGGGGACGATTTGAAGGAAGATCTGGGAGAGCCATAGCTTTGGGAGATGCCGTTAGAACGAGCAGATGGGACACCATATTGCTGAGAAGGAGAGGAGGATCGGAACTGAGAGTTTCGGGCATTGGGAGCTCCATAGCTCTGAGATGGGGCTCCAAAGCCTTGAGAACCAAAACTTCTTTGTGAAGGTACACCGTATTCTTCAGATGGAGCAGAACGGAAGTCTGGCGCACCATATTGTGAAGACGGAGACCTGGCAGAGAGAGATGGAGGACCGTATTCTTGGGAGAGACCACTTCTTAAACCAGGTACAGATGAAGAACCATGTGCTGAGGGAACGCCGTATTCTTGCGAAAGACCCCTAGCTGAAGGAGCCCCGTATTCTTGTGATAGTCCGTTCCTTGCATTTGGGGGGCCATACTCTTGTGAAAGTCCACTTCTAGCATTAGGAGGGCCATATTGGGTTGATGGAGAACTACGTAAGCCAGGCGCTCCGTATTCTTGAGAGATGGCGTTGCGAGACGATCCAAAGCTCCTTGCTGACGATGCTGAATATCCTTGGGAACGTTGGGATTCGAATCCGTGACCGTGATCGTGATGATGATCATGTCCGGACCGTGCTGCAGCATATCCGTCGCTGAAAATTTTTGTGCAAAGTTTAATATATGCGATAATTATTTTTTAACGAAATCTTAAATGTACGTCTTTATATCTTCTATAATCTTTATATGTAGATGTATATAGGTATCTGTACAGTAAACTATATTAACTCAGCACATATTGTATTACAACTAAATTCGAATTAAAATGAACTTTATTAAAATGAATTAACTCGAAAGCGCTTATATTTATTTTATTTATTATTATGTTTATTTAAACATTATACATATTCCATATTAAGGACATAACTCTCTCTGCGAACCTCATGAGAGAGCTGGCGTGAAAATAAATAAGATATTGCACTGAAACATCAACATGTTTTGTAACTTACCCGACTGGTGGCTCGGCAAGAGCGACGGATAAACAAAGCAACGTGATAAACACCTATAAACAAACATTTATCAATTAATCACCGATTAATCAAGCAAATTAAAATAATAATAACATATCACATTCAAAAACACACCTTCATGCTGTTGATATAGAGATCAATGTTCTGGATTATCTGAAAATAGGAAATACTTTCGTATCAATTAGGTATGGCGCGAAATTCGTAGATAAACAATGATACCTAACTTGTTTTTAAGAGGGAATAATCCTGTTTGATATATTAATTTAAATGCTTGTATATCTAAATACGTTTACTTATACGCAATATCTATTTGGTATTTAGCTTTGTAAGTAAATAATCTAGTTATATATAATACTTGTTGAAAATACAATATAAAATATGATAGCTTGCAATAACCTAAAAATAAGTGCAATTTCTTTCGCTAACTTAAAGGATAAAAAGTAATTTATGAACACTTTTTAGAAATTGTATAATAATTTTAGTGTGGTTTTTCTTTATTTTTAGACTTACACTAGAATTCCGTGTTTATTATTTCCATTAATTTTTTTAATTAGAATTTTTGGAGCTATGGTGTTTCTTAAAAAGATGTAGTAACAATATAAAATATAAATACTAATATTATAAAAAGAAACTAGATTTTGTTTTAAATAAAGTTAATGCTGAAACGACAACACCGATTTGAGAAATTCTTTCACTATTTGAAAGGACATAATATATCTATTGTGTTTATATATATTGCTACATGACTTAATAGTGATGACCAAGTAAAAAAAGAAAGGTTTTTAAAAGTATTAATTGCACTGAACTTTCGACTTAGATAAATCTACAACGTATAATTTCAAGGAATCTATAGGTACAGTAGCACGGTTTCTGATGGCAGTTTATAAGAAAGCCCTATGCCCTACGGTGGACTATGAAAAAGTGAAATGTTGGTTGATAGTACGGTAATATAATTTACCACTAAACACTTTTATCCTCTTCTTGTGATGGTTTCAAATGAGATGTACAGATTGAATGATACACTTCTACATCTCATCAACTATTTATACTAAACTTACTCTTACAATATACATTGTTGCAAACTTAATTTTGGACTCACCAAACTAACGTTTGCTACATTTGCGACCGTATTTGTATATCATTAGGATGTAGAGTACATTTTCGAAGGTTGTATTGATGGCTGTAATAAAGTTTCATTGTGATTCTACGCTATGTACATGCGTATGATGACACAGATTAAGATCTTTGTTGTCTATTACTGCAGATTTTGTGTTCGAAATTCGTCCTAGACTATTCAATAATGTACCTAAGTAATAATCATATGACGGCTTCGGTGGTACAGCGGTTTAAGACACCGCTTTACTTCGATGGTCGAGGGTACGATTCCTCGGTGCAAACATTTGTATTGATGACTATGATTGTTTGTATCGGTCTAGATGTTTTCTATGTACATTACATATGTATTTACTGAAAAAATGTCTTTATGTATTTACGTCAGTTGTCTAGTACCTATAACACAAGCTCAGCGTAGCTTCGGACTAGATACTATGTATTGTCCTGAGATTACGATGCTTTGTTACTCAGGAAAATGATATAGGTATCATACCTAGACCAATCACTGGACACTGCGAATTAAATAAACACATGGCAAATTTAGGCATGTGCTTAACAAAGATTTGCAGATTTTGTTAAGAAGAAGAAACGCCACTACACATCCTATGTGGTTGTAGCCCACTCATGCATAAACGAAATATCATCTTTGGAAAGTATACACTCTATCCTCAGGAGATTAAAACCATCGCTCCTAAGAATAGCCCTAATTTTTGTCCCTGACGGGTCTTGATACCGAACTCTGAAAAAACAGGTCCTTTAGAAAGTATACGCTCTAGCCTGAGGAGACAGAAACCATCGCTCCTAAGAATAGCCCTAATTTTTGTCCCTGACGGGTCTTGATACCGAACTCTGAAAAAACAATCGAGCAGATCTCCGCATACGCTGTGCTACAGATCTCAAATATATTGTCACAGCCCAGACCAATGAATAAATAATATATTGGAAACCATATATACTTTTATCAACAGTTTGTTCGGGTTATGACTATTGATTATATTACTTCCGATTGACACAAATGCAATAATATGCTTACTCTACATTCTTCTTAATTTAATTTTAAAATGTATCTGTATTTTTGTTTCCTGTAGGTTTGGAGTAAATATGATTATATATATATTATATTTTATTCCAGTGAAGCTAATAACGCCATCTGCGAGCAATATTCCCATACAATTTATTTAAGCGAGCGACAAAATTTCTAAATTCTCACCTACTCGCATTGAATCTCTCAAAATTTATATATATAAACTAGCTGAATCCGGTATCATATAATTTTTTTGTTTGTCTATTAGAATCAATATACACTTTAAACCAAATGTTCCTGAGACTGGGACAAATACACAGACAAAAATTGTAATATCAATTACCATATATCTGAAGTTCTGTTCAAGTCCCCCAATAATAGTTTTTCTTATAGGTATGTATATAATTATCTTTCATGTACAGACAACACATACAGTTACATTTGTATTACTTACTAGCTGTTGGACTAACTGGACGTTCAAAGAACAAGAGCTGGCAATGATGGTGTTTCATTATAAACCTAATGATAATATTGTTAATGACGGCGACGCTCAACTTAATCCTTCTTTTATTAAAAAAACAGGAGCAGCCGTTTTGTATTGCAGACGCACTTCTTACTTACAACTCCAGTTGAGTTATTTATTGATTCATTCATTTTTTTTTATTTTCTATTCTATGTAAACGAAATTATGAAATCACGTTTTTTTATAACATACTGGTTGTTATCTGCAACTTCGCCCGCATGTTATTTAACCCTCATTTACCTCAAAACCTTATTACTATTAATAAATTTTCTAAAATGAAAATAGTCTCAGTTACTCCTTGAAATCTTATGCCATTAGCTATAACTTCAATCAAAATTGCTACAGCCGTTTCAGAGATTAGTGAGAACAAACAGACAGACAACAACTTATATTTTTTTTTATGTAAGTACTGTATATACTTTCATATGCATTTGTGAAAAGCTGTTCATTTGACATTACAAAGACATTTCCATTTTATATGTTTGTATAGATAAAAATTTGTCTTTTTTCCAACTTTACTAATGCTGTTGAGCGTAATTGGCTCTTACAGCATCACCGGACGAGCCAAATCTGCGGAAGAACTTATGGAGCGATAGAAGACCAACTCCCGCCAGACGGATACGACTTTAGTCTGCGGGCACCGCTAGGGGTTCGAACCTCGACTTAGGCCGTCGTAATTTCGATCCCCGTTTGAATGGGACAAAGGATCTATCGAAGAGCAAAATTTCATAGTAATAAATTATATTAATAATATGTACTAAGTGCGAAAGTTTAGATAATTGGAATTGCAAATAGTCTAACAGCCCACCAGATGGTAAATGGTAACCGTCGCCTGTATACATGAATAGCACTACTGACATCACGTTCTCATATGACACCCGTGATACCATTCAGGCGTTGCTATTCCCGAGGACTAAGATATCATGCCTCTTAATAATTTCACTGCCCAATCTCAGCCTACAACCGAAACACAGCTTAGAAAGCAAGCAGCTCGGCGGCTGAAATAGGTGTGACTGAGGTACCCACGCCGACCAATTCACAAAGTCGACCTCAGGTAAGAATGTGGCATCAGTGTGTGCTCATATTGGCATAAATAAATTACCATTTCATTGATTGAACCGTGGACCTAAATGTTTCGTACTTTTATTGAACCCGTCATGAGGTGATAAAATGTTATGGCTCTCTAAACATTATGGGGTATTCGTGAGTTGTATAAATTGGATGTAGTTTCACACCATAGGTAACATACAGACAGACATATCTGTATTATAAGATATACATATTCGTATATTACTTACTGTTAATTTTTTATTTTAGATTATATTACTTACTTACTGTTATAATAAAGATAATAACAAGTAATGTAGTCTGTGGTCATAACATAAATAGATATTTAAAAAAAAAATTACATTGACAATCTAGGACATAGCTGAAATCAGTTCTTTGCTCCTTGAGTTATTCTTCACACTGAGCTGTGTACCATTTTGTATTGGTGTATTTTGCTGCTGCTGTGTTTTTTTTTCCATACTTTGTACACATGTAACGATGACAATTATTTAATTAGGATGACTTAATTAAAAAAAAAATGAATTCCACGATTCTGCAATCTTATAGATAGGGTAGTCTATAGGTATACATATCTATTATTATCAGAACCTTTTTATTTCTCTATCGATGTTTCGATCTCCGGACAGATAGTTAAAAACATAATTTGACATTTAAATGTTTTTGTTCTCGGTTAGAATCGAACTTAAACCATGCCTTTGCCTAGTTCGGGATAGTAAACCAGTGGACCGAAGCGAAGCTTTTGTTTATTTAAATAAACATATCTCGCCATGTCAGGAGATAACCAATTAAGGGCAAGGTCACACTGTACTCGATTACCAGTCAATATGAGACAAAAGTGAATTTTATGTCACGATTTACAAACCAACCGTCAATTGGTCACACTCAGCTATTTAAATTGTATTTAAACTATATTAACTTAGACAGAAGGTTTAATATACTACATCTATCCAAATATTTGATATTTAGTGTTACAAATTGTCACATATCATACACAGAACATTGAATATAAGCTTTATAATTTAGTCAGTAACGTTCAAAGTCCATTGGTGATGCATCAATCAGATTTGTTACTAACAGTATTGTTTAGAATTGAATGCGTGAACATGCAATGTCACAGAACAAAGATGCACTCTGATTGGACCGTGGCACAGTCTGTTAAACTTCGATTAAGAATTTTAATCTTTGGTTAAGTTTTGGATGCTAATGAACAGTTCATATTAAGATTATAACCATAGAGTAGTAACATTTATTGAAATTATAAAGTTGTAATTAGATAATTACAAAAGAAATGAACTAAACGTAGAACGTACGAATCAAACGTTACAGAATCTCTCGGAAAAAAATATTATCTATGTTTGCATCACTGGAGAGTCAATTATAAATATAAATTAACACAAGGTATTTTGGTGTCGCGATATCGGATCACGATCTCTCAGTCTGACTTCGGTAAAGTAAGCTCTGTAGTCCCCTCTGATCGATTTCCTGTCCAATTTAAACGGGGATTACAATTACGACGGTCTGAGCCGAGGTTCGAACGCCTAGCGGTGCCCTCACACTGAAGTCGTATCCGTCAGGCGAGAGTTAGCCTTCAGCCGCTCCATAAGTCCTTCCGCGGGTTTGAAGCGCCATCTGCACTCGCCCCCTATCGTCCGGTGAAGCTGTAAAGGCCAGCTGCAGCCAACAGATTTAGAGTAGTCCGAAAAAAAGGTCTGTAGCTAAAAGTTTATTTATCTGCTTAATCTTCAAAAATATGGAAAGAGATTGCTGAATAGTATATGTATTTGTTCCTGATACAGAAATAAAGCTTTATTGCCTTATTGCCTGATACTCAAATAGGCTGTATTCAAATGCTATTTATAAATAGCAAATTTTATTAGTTATAGATAAAAAAATTTAACGTCAAATCTGCAACATTTTTGACAATTTTTTAATCAGTTATCTAATGGGTCATTTATTTTAACTTTGCCTTTTAAACGCCAGTTAACTTAACCATATTAAAGTTAACTCGATTCAGTGCCACCCGTCTTCATTATCACTAAGGCCGCCTACTAACAACTTTTTTTGTATCGAATGAAAGGCTCACACTTGTGTCAAATGATGCCATTTTATCTAATAGCCCTCAACCAGTATACGAAGATATATCTTTATGCAAACAATATTAGAGAACGCGTCTCAAACGGGATTAGATGTTAATTTATTACCATTAACAATTCTTCGCCTTCACCTACTTTGACATGTATGTGTAGCAGGACTAATGGATAAATCGGTGGCTTGAGATCATCTAATCATGCTTTGTCAAATAGCTTCAGGTATTTATTTCCCTTAATGTTATAAAACAACCATTAAAAATAATTCCATTTATAAAAGCGTTCTTTTCGAAATTTCGAAGCTAGGATTACTAGACCTGCTCAATCAAACGACAGTTGCCTGCCCCATTTAAAGAAAACAATAATGGAGTTAGGTATATTATAAAAATAGTGAATATCGTAAAAAAATGTATGTTAAATTTTAAAAACAGAACTGAACATTGTTATGTCTAAGAACAAGAATGTACTTAGCTGTATAATCTAAGAACCTTTGCCTATCTATATGGCAAACTGAAAAACAATACAAATTGGTTACTTTTTGTTGTAGTATTGTTTTTACATGTTATGTAGGTTAAGAAAATAGAGTGTAAGTGTAGAAAATAGACGAAAAAGACTAGAAATACAGAGATTTTATATAGTTATGAACGATTGTCAAGACATTGAAGGATTTAAATACAAATCATGATTACGTAGTATAAAACAAAGTCGCTGTCGCTGTCTGTCCGTCCCTATGTATGCTTAAAACTTTAAAACTACGTAACGGATTTTCAAGCGGTTTTTTCAATTAAATGGATTGAGTCAAGAGGAAGGTTCATATATATAATACATATACACCCGTGCGAAGCAGGGGCGAGTAGCTAGTTTAGAATAAAAAATACATTTATGATTAGCCATTACAGTATATAACACTTTTGTTTGCCTAAGTATTGCAATATTTTTTTTACGTAAATAGATATTTTAAGTAGTAGGCATGTTGATTAATTAAACAATCTTCAATATTTATCTAACTGCAAACTGAAATATTAATCATGCAATAAAACTCTCATTAAACTATCAGTAAAAAAAACAAGCATGTTTTTATAATAATTTAGCGTAATTAGGTACATTTATTTTTTAACCGATTAAGTACAGACATACGAATATTTACATCCGTCTGTCTGTACATCGATTTATGCAATCTTGACCCTATAGTGATAAATATAGGTCGCGCCAAGGGCAACTAAACTATAATTTGCACATATAATGGAGAGTTTATAGATTAAGTATGTTTGTTTATAAAAAAAATACAGTATTACATTATACATAATTAGGTCACAATCACAAATTCTTATATAAGTACAATGTATTTAATTCTAGTGTTAGATTTAGTGGTCGAAATTTGACCAGTGTGCGGTCGAATCTGGACTTTAATTTATTAAAATTATTTTGACGTTATTATTACATTATGTATATGTATAGGTGAATAAGTTAAACGCCTGATAGTGTGTTTCATAATTTGGTTTATTAATTTAACTTGTTAAACGTTGTTTTGACATATAAATTAAAAACGCTATTAAAAAATAGGGGTTGGTGGTAGAAGGGTGAAAATTTAAGGCTGTATTCAATGCCAGATAATAAAAAAAATAATGTCAAAAAAAAAAGAAAAAAAAACTTTTTAACAGTTAACGGTATAAAACTTAGTTATAAATATGTAATATTATATTATCTGTGGTTGTAAACCTATTTTTAGATCTACTAAACATACATATAAAATTTTATTAAAATCGGTCAAGTCATTTCGGAGGAGTATAAACACGAGACACGAAAACGAAACCGAAAACGAGAATGTTATACCTACATAAATTTCAGGTTAGATTCAGGTTAGATTATTAAAAAAAAAAATTCTACACTTTCTTTATGTAAATTAACTGTACCAAATTTGGAACTCCTCCGTCTACATCTCCTTCAGATACAAAGTTTTTTTTTCACATAGATATTATGCAACCCTACCCTATACATACATATTTATATAATTGAAATGGCAAACAGACTGAAGTCCCACCTGACGGTAAGTGATAATCGTTCGCCGTGCATGAAGAATATAACGGATATTATGTCACATAGGAAATGTTTAACACGCCCTTGGTACCCATAATGCGTTGCCATTCCGAAGGACTCAGATGTCATGCCTTCGCACCCTGTAATTTCACTGCCTAATCACACCTTACAAGCAATAAGCAGTCGCCACCATGGAGCTGGACATTGTCGACTACATAAAGACCAAAAATAACATAACAATAATGGTGACGCAGGTGGAGTCAAGTCACACCGTGAGTTTCAAAGCCAGGTTCCCCACCAACCTGCTGCCCAACTTCATGAAGGGGGACCATTAGATGAAGGTGGTGTATCGGCGCGGCGTTACCGTGGCAGATTGCCGTTGTCACTACCGTGACCACAGAGACAATTTTGCATTTTTATTATAATATTAATTCATATGTATGTTAGTCTATAAGTTATTTATAATATAGGTAGGTATATATATTAGTAGCCTGAAATAAATAAATAAATAAACAGGTTACAAAGCAAGCTGCTCGATACCGAAATAGGAGCACTTCTCAGAGGTCCTTGTACAAAGACTACCTCGGTAAAAACGCTAGTGTTACTTAAAATTCAGTAAGTACATTGAAATCAATAGATGACTAATATAAACAATAATTTATCAGCAACCACGCAATTCGTTATAACTACTACTTAGTTAAAAACATACGATCATATAATTAGTGTTCGATAACTCTTCCGACCATACTAATGATTTGTATTAAAATCATTATATTGTGCTTGTTTGTAATTAAATCATGCAATGCAAAGATTAAGTTAAATATTAAAATAGCGTCCAATGAAAAAAATATAGATATAAAATGTTCCGGGTACGATAACAAATTGATTAGTGATGCCGAAATCAGTCTTTATAATATTACAAAGGAAAATCTTAATAAAGGTGTCAGAGTCGAAATGGGGAAAGTGCCTAATGACATATTCTTAAAAGATCCAACACCCTATTATAATTTGTATGAGAAATACCATTGGCCGGAAGTAAAACGGCATCTTTATGTGAAGAACATTAGTGTTTTATACGTGAACAACGAAGAAGTTTTAATTAGCTCTCACGAACATATCAATAATTCAACAGATACAGTCCAGTCGAAGAAAGTAATGGTTCACAATGTAGAATCTACTGTATCCTCTACATGGTCCGATGAAGGAATGCCAAAAGACGACGTTTCGTACGAAATCAATGTTGATTTCGGTAGAAAAGAACACATTTTTGAAAACAAATGGAGGAATAATTTACTTCGCAGCGTTCATATACCGTTTGGTGTTGTTAGAACAGGTTTTATTGATGTTAAACCAGGAAAATCTTTAGTAAAACAACTGAAGGGAAACCGAACTTTAATTGTTCTAGAAGTTTCTTACTCTGCTAACCTTATTGGTAGTGTAATAGCCGATTATGCTCAGTTGTATGGTAAATATCATTTTTGGGCGCCAAGTGTGCAAAATATAATGGCGGCCGCTGGTTTACAAAATGAAATAATTACAAAAGAAAGAATTGAAATTCGATGCAACACTGATCCCAAGTTAAAAGTCTTCGATAAGGAGACAGGGAAATCTATACTACTAGATAGACGAATAAAAATAGTACGCAAAGGAAATAAACTTTATAGAATTATACAAAATGATATACATTATATTTTATTGTTTTATTTAATTATTAGTTTGGTAGATATACCTATCTCTTTTTTAATAGATGATAAGGGATTACATCTGCCTGCGCTAGCAGTATACTGGCGGAGCACCAGTAAAGAATGATAGTAAGAGCTTGAGGTTAGGTCAGTTAGCCCACCAAATTCACAATGAATTTATCATGATGGTCCAGGGGGAACCGCGTGGTGGTCAACCTGACATGGTACATTGTTGGTAATTAGGTCATCGGTCTACATTACTAATAAACCCCTTTCCTCCAGATATACCTATATTAGCGGCTTCTTCCTGTTCTTAATAGTAATTCAACGAGTAATAGAAAAGAATCAAAGTATGTTTATTAAATCACACTCTTTATAAAATATAAAAAGTACTTTAACCTTGTAAACTATTTGGATCTCTAATGTGCTATATTAAATAGGTTTTTGCACAAAAAAAGATATAAATTTCTTGCCTAATTATATAGAATCTTAGATAACTACAACCCCTAATATTTATCTAGGTAGATGTGTACTCAGTCTGAAAGTACAACGGGAGTAATTAACTAATGTATCGTCGTTTCACAGCGAACTCTACCAGGACCCAAATATTTATCAACCTGTTTAAAGGTCAAGAAAGATTGATATAATTTTAGGTAGAGGTAAAGATCAGCTGGGGTCGATTTTGAGGCTAATTGGCATAGTCCGAAAAAAAAGTTTTACGACATACAACCTACAGACAGAGTCACATTACAGCAGAAGTTAAAGGAAGCTTCCTTTAACTTCTGCTGTTTCAATTTATGTTTATTTTCTTTTAATTAGATATTCATTTTTACAGGCTTAGGTTGTGATTGGGTCATTTGTGTATTCAGTACATAATGTAATAAGTATATTCTAAACAAAAGGGTTCTTTTATATCTCTTCGTGTGAATATGGTAATCGAATCTTTTCGCTTTCTATATCAATAGTCGTATCATTTCGAGCGATTATAATTGAATCACTCGCTATCGAATCGAGTATTTTAAAGGGCTCGGCGAATGACGTTGTGACCTTGTATGTTGGCGGTATATTAATCTATATTAAGATAAAATAAAGGTACTATAACATATAAATCCGAATTATAATAAAACGAAGTGATCGTGAGGTCTTACACGCTCCACTTTTCGGGTTTATTTGAATGACAGTGGCAAAACTGACAGCAAACTATCGTGTAATAGGCGCACGCATAAATCGTCACATGAAACGTCAAAAGTTCAAAGATTTCATTTGATTTCCATATCATTGCAGAATGCGATAATCGCTTTTAACTTTGTGTACTAAGTTTTAAAGTTTCCGTCGATCGATAAATGGACGCATTACACACAAAAGAATGTTAGTTTATGTCTGACCGACGGTTATTTTTATCATATTGAGTTTATTACAAAAATACGAGTGTACAAGTTTCATTTCTCATTTAATTTTGATACCACATAAACGTATTCGTGATTTTTGTTTGTGAATTTGAATCTCTATGTGAAAGTCCAGTGTGCACTGTGTGCATTTATTAAAAATGGTTTACTATAAGGGAATAATGATCTGTGTGCCTTTGTATATTGCGGGGTAAGTTTTCTTTTTTTATTTACAAAAGTTGTGTGTATATTTCTTTAACATATATGTTAAATTATTATGTTTTATCGTAAAGGATATACAGGAGGTTTTATGATGTAACAATGTAAACAATGCTTCAAAATATGAAAGTTCTTATGTAAGATTCTATCAAATAAAAGTATTATGTAAAATATTTTTTTATTGATTTATATGTGGTTAATGGATATGCTAAATTGACTCTACTTTTTTGGTCAGGGTACTAATAAATTGTATATTTAATGTTTTTTTTAATATATTACATAGACTATGACTTTCCCTGCTATCAGTGGACTTTATACATTTATTCATTTACAAACAAAGAGATACCAATATTTTTTATTGAAATATACTCATAGGTACTAAACAATTAAACACTAACAAACAATAGTATTTATTTATTTTTTTGCCATATTCAAAATAAAATAGTGCATATACTTTATTCTATTTAAATTTTAGTCCTAAAATGGTGATGCATAATTTAGTTCTTATTTAATCTTCACCTACCTATTATAAATTTTTACCCTAATATTTCACCCCATTATTTCAACCCCTTTATACATGAATACACAAACTGACCTCTTAGTGGAACAGTTGGAATGTTTGTATTTGTTTTGAGAAGTAAGTTTTTAATTTCAAAATGATAGGCAATTTTAATAAAAATTCTCTATGTATATTAAAGATACTTGTATGCCTGGCTAGTTGAAGACACAAGAGCATGTGATCACTATGTTAAATACTTGTAATTTTTATCCACACATCTTATATAATATTCATACTTGTCTACAGTAATTATATAAAAACCTCAGTCAGATGTATATGTTAATTTTAAAAATTCTATTTATTATATGGATTTGGTTATTTTTGTTTATTGAAACTCTTTTAATAGCATTATGTTGTTGACACTGAATTGATCCTAAACTTAAGCTTTAATATTTAAAGAGATTAGTAGAAAATTGATGGAAATGGCAAGAGTTCCACAGACAAAAGAGTGGCTCTTAAATTATTAATAAAAAGAATAAGAGCTGAGTTTTTGTCGTTCAAACTATATTCCAGTCAAATAGTAGATTTGACTTATCATAATTGTCTGTACTAGACCTACATGAATAAAGATATTGTGATGTGATAAAACAATTAACAAGGACACTGATACATAATAATAATTATATGTATGACATATATAGTCTAATTGTTACTATCTTTTAATGTAATGTAATTTGAACTCTATTCCTTTGGTTTTGCCTCTCATCTGGAACACTATTTGTTAACTTTTTTTATTTTGTTCCAGAACATTCCTTCTTGGCACTACAGTAGCAATTGCATTGTTTGTGTTCCATGTAGCCATGGTGCCTATGATATTCAGATACTCTAAGACATTCAGACGTAACTTAGTTTTTCTTAATTTTGGTAAGTGTTTGATATTAGAACAAGCTAATAGGGAATAGAATAGAAAATCATTTGTTAAAATATACTTAATTTAAGCACTTTTGAATAGTCATAGTTATCATTCTTTGAATCTACTGCTTATTCGGAAAGCTGTCTCATCACAAGAAGTACAAGTAAGAAATGTGTGTTTGAAAAAAAAGTGTGTGTTGCTCTTTTAAATAATCATTGTAATTTTGCATTTCCAATTTGAAACATGCAAATATAAACCACTAACTGTCACCAATTTATTAACATCTATTATATATATATATAGATATTAAGTACATAATACGATTAAAACAGTGGTAGTGATTAGAGTAGACCAGTCCTTACAAACAGTACCGGCCTTATTACAAAAAGATAAACCTGGGGGTTTAAGAAAACCATCAATAAAACTGAAAGATCTTTGGACATGTTATCTCATATTCAGACGGGTTTGATAGGCATGAACCCACACACAAGGACCATTCCAATGCCTGCTTCCTTCTTGCCAACAAATACCATAGAGCAAGAACCAGTAGGCGCTAGGGACACTTCCATATGTGGGGTGTGTGCACATCCTTCTTTTAATCAAAAAACAAATATTTTTTTATGTAATTGGAATAGTCAACAGAAGTGAAAACAGTCAGTTTCATGGTGGTAAATGGTATGCATCACTTCTATGAACCTCAAACTCAAAATCATTTGTTAACATAACTTTACCATACTATACCGTCTTTGGCTGGCTACTTCAGTTGAGAAGAACTGGTCAGAAACTCTTCTAGTACATTTTTTTGTTATTATTAATTTTAGCAATAGTGCTGTTATTATGAGATGCTCTTGGCAACCCTCAGATCATTCAATTTAGCTTACAACTTTTCTTGAACTAGTTTTTTCTAGTTTGTGATTCAGAGAATATTTGCTCAAACTTAATGTCTATGAATATTCTTGTTTTTTTTTTAATTTACCTAAATTACTTGATATGTTGTGTTTAAGCCTCAAATGTGTGTTCCTATAATTTTATCAATACTTCTCTAAATACATAACATATAATATATTATACCAATTTTTTTTTAATGAACTAAAGAGCGAGGGAACAGAGATCTGGTTGTGTGGCTTGTCTTTGGAAGTGTTGTTCAGAATTAGTTCTTTTGCGAACTACTTAGTATTAGTTCCATGGCCCCAAAAGGCCCATAAAGTGAATATTATTTTTCAGTTCAATGGCCATTATACACAGACTTTGAAGAACCATCGTCCAATGGGATTGATGGTGGACGAAATTTCACCATCGAGTACCACTCGAAAGTTGATAATTGCCCAATACGAATTGGTATGCATATTTTAATGATTTAAAATAATAAAAGTTTATTCGTTTGTTCAGTGTGCTTTAAAAAAAACACGTATCGAAAAAATCGGTACGGCTTGAGACTAAAACTTTTTTATTAGATTTGTTAACAGTATGGCTAAAATCTAAATGTGTGTGACTAATTCACACTATATGAGGTTGTCTAGTGGGTTAGTAAATATTTTTTTATGGTCACATAGCGATCTAGTCTAGTGGGTCAGCTTTATTTCTTAATGGTCACAGATTTGATCCCCAAATAATAATAACAACCCTGGACAACTCACACAACGCCCTCAAATCCAAATTTAAGCAGAGCTTGTGCTATGGATACTAGCCAACGGATACAAATACTTAGATACAGTTTTCTTTATAAATATATATGTAATACTCATAGAAAATACCCAGATGATACAACAATACTCATGAATACGAATGTTTGTACCGTGTTAATCGAACCTGTGACCATCTGGAAAGCTGTGTGCTAAATGGCTAGACCTACGAAATCATTGAAAATATTGTTGTTATATTAAGTTGTTTGTATTAGTCAGAGTTTATTCTGGATATAATATTTATCTATTTTATAGTATATAATATCTATTATATAGTATAAAAGTATGTCTATCCGTCATCTTGTAACCGCTGCTCTGGTTTGGGTCTTAGTCGTGTTCTGTAAGTTCTCGAGGGGATGAAAAAATTAAGTAATTATAATGTTGTTACTATATGCCAGATACTAACTATCAACTCACGCTCTTTTGAGTCAGAATAATAAACTAAAATCAGACTTGTCTTTTCGTTGGTTACTTTTTTAATAGTAATAATAATGTATTTTTATTTTAGGCAACTTGATATTATAATAATATTGGCCTATTTTATATATGCCTTGAGTATTGGTATAAGTAGAAAATAATAAAATATTTAATTATTTAGAATGGTAAATATTAAATTATAATAATCTACTTTATGTTTACAGGAATATGGCATATATTACCAAAATCAGTATACGAGAGACTTAAAAACAAGTTTGAAGGCAACGTGGATAAAGATAAGCTGAACAAATTGCTGGATGATGAACTGGTCAACTCCCAAACTCCAATCATGATGTATTGTCATGGTAACATACTTTTTTTTTAATAATAATAATAATAATTGCAGTTCCTATTACACAAAATGTCCAGAAGACGATTGTTGAAAAAATAAACAAATTTGCAGAGTTAAAAGAAGAAGTAACAAGAATCTGGAAATAGGAAAAAGTTTTTATAATATCGATAGTCCTCTCATCCTCAGATATCATACCTAATCACCTAATACGCCACAGAGCGTAAAAAACCAGCAGAAGCTGATAAAATGAGACAACAGTGAAAATAATAATAATCTCAGGACAATTCACACAGCGCCATCTAGACCCAAGTTAAGTTAGCTAAAGCTTGTGTTATGAGTACTAGATAACTGATACAAATACATAGATATTTTTTTTTTTTTTTTTTTTTGTAAATACATACATATTATACATAAAAAACCGATACAAACAACCATACTCATGAATACAAATGTGTAAGAATAGTCACACTTAGTTACTTAGTATTTCAACTACCTGCCATAACCTGGAATGCTGTTGGAATGGGATTTTCTTCAGGGAATTTGTTAAGGTCCACTTGATAGGTCAATAATTATCTATACATATAAATAAAATTGGAGTGTCTGTTTGTAATATTGAAATAACCGTTTTTTACTACATACATATGAATATAAATACGGTACATACACCAAAATAACATATTTTACAATTTTTGTCTGTCTGTTTGTTCCGGCTAATCTCTGAAATGGCTAGACCGATTTTGACGTAATTTTTTTTTGGCAGGTAGGTGATGTAATAAGGAGTAACTTTATACTATGGTTATTTTTTATTTTATAAAAATAAAGTTAAATTCCAAGCGGACGCAGTTGCGGGAACAGCTAGGTTATTAATAATACCTCACCACCTATGTTCTGGTAAGCACATGTGATTGTTCGATGACTGGGGCCATAACCTGTCGATAGTCTCAACACCTAGGGCTATCGGCGGGGTCACAGCGCATTTTCTTATTAATTAATTCGTTGAAATCATGATAGAACGTGTGACACATGAAAGACATACTAGCTGTAGCACGCGGCTTACCTCGCGATGTATTGTTGTTATTAATATATTATAATAATAACAATAATTAATTACAAACAAAGAATAATTGTTATTTGCGACTTCATTCGCGTGGAATTTGACTTTTATTTATTAAATATTAATATTTTTTCTTAAATAAACGTAGCTTAAATTACTCTTTATAATATCAGCTATTTACGAGTGAAAGTACAACCATAATCGTTATAGCCGTTTCAGAGATTAGCAAGAACAAACTATCAGACAGACAGACTTTTTTTTATGTGAGTTCCGTATATACATTCATGTGAATTAGTAAAAATCTGTTAATTTGAAATTACAAACAGACACTCCAATTTTATTTCTTTGTATAGTTAAAGGCATTTACCTCTCGTGACTTTGTTAGCTGTTAACGGTTAACTATATGAATAATTAATAAGACAGTTTAAAAATAAAAATTTCTAGATAATTTCTAATTTGAAGAAAGAATTGTTGTTGTAAAATTAGAGATTACCCTCTGTGGTCTAGCGATTTAGCAGGGCATTTTAGTTCCGATAGTCGCGGGTTCGATTTCTTGCACGATACAAACATTTGAATTCATGAGTATGATTGTTTGTATTGGTCTGAATGTTTTCTACGTATATTATGTATGTTTTTACAAAAAAATCTATGTATTTATATGAGTTGTGTAGTACCCATAACATAAGTTTTGCTTAGCTTGGGACTAGATGGCGCTGTGTTAATTGTGCTGGGTAGTAATGTGGTAGTAAATATTTAGATAATTTTTTTTGTAAATATGTACACAAATAAAAAAATAGTTATTAAATATTTATTTATTTGAGAGGGATTTATGGGAGAGGTCTCAGGATGCTATCGGTGTATTCTGTGACCTCTCAAAAGCATTTGATTGCGTTGATCATGAAACACTCTTACTCAAATTAGAACATTACGGTATTAGATATGAAGCACTATGCATGATGAAATCCTATCTAAATAATATAATGCAAGTTGTTGAAATAAATGGTGTAAAGTCTGAGGGAACTAGTATTAAAATGGGTGTTCCACAGGGCTCTATTCTGGGTCCTTTCTTATTTTTAGTTTACATAAACGATCTTCCTTATATGGTAGAAAAGATAGCTGACATAGTTCTGTTTGCTGATGATACTTCATTAGTATTCAAAGTCAATCGACATATTGATGATATGGACGAAGTAAACGGTTCTCTCTCTTATGTTTTAAAATGGTTTACGGCAAATAATATGCTAATAAATGCAAATAAAACTAAATGTATCAAATTTACTCTCCCCAATGTAAGGCCGGTAGATTCAAAAATCGTATTGGACAATAAATCTATTAATTTTGTTGACGATACTGTATTTCTAGGTATCACATTAGATTCCAAGTTGCAATGGGGTGCTCATATTACTAAATTGGCGAGTCGACTTAGTTCTGCCGCTTATGCGGTAAGAAGAATTAGACAATTAACAGACGTGGCAACGGCTAAACTTGTCTATTTTAGCTATTTCCATAGCATTATGTCGTATGGTATTTTGTTATGGGGCAAAGCAGCTGATATAAATACAATATTTACTTTACAAAAGAGGGCCATTCGCTCCATTTATGGTATGGGTTCCAGGGAGTCATTGCGAGAGTGTTTTAAGGAATCAAATATCCTCACCGTTGCTTCTCAATACATTTATGAAAATATCATCTATGCCAGAAGGAATATAGACAGTTTCAAAAGAGTTAGTGATTGCACTAATAAAAGCTTACGTAACAATAACAAACTGATTTTACCTAAATGTCGTTTGGCTAAAGTTAGTAATTCGTTTTATGGCAATTGCGTAAGGTTTTACAATAAAATACCAGAGTCTGTTATAAATCTGCAAGAAAAAAGATTTAAATGTCAAATAAAACAGTTCCTTTGCAAAAAAGCTTACTATAAAATTGAAGAATTCGTTAACGATAATAATGTTTTTATAGAAAAACTTTAAATCCATAGCACTGACAATATTATCTGATTACATTAATAATGAGTGCGTAGCGACTTCTATGTTGATTATCGCATGCCTCTTACTTGTTATACTGTAATTATTTATATAAAAAAAACATCTATTAAAAAGAACAACACACAAGTTTCTTGCTCATTCTTCTTGTGATGAATCTGCATTCCGAATGAGTGGTAGAATCAAAATATGACTATTCAAAAGTGCTTGTAATGAGTTTATTTGAATAAAGATTATTTCTATTTCTATTTCTATTATTTATTTACAGGTAACTCCAATTCGCGCGCGACTTCTCATAGGCTGGCACTGTACAAGTTCTTTCAGCGAATGGATTATCACACTATAGCTTTTGATTATAGAGGTGAGTTTTTTCTAGTCTATGGTTTGCTCCTTGAGTTTTGACAGCCTCGGTAGTCGGAGTAGCACACCGCTTTATGTCCAATTATAATCTGTCTGTATCAATTCGGTAGAACCGATGACACTTTAGGAGATCCAGCCTATGTAAGACGATCATACACGCCAGTCTTTTTGGAAAGATATAGATCAAACATTACTTACATATACCCGGATCGTCGGATGTTCCCCTGGAAGAGCCGGGGTTAATTCTTCCTTAATGCGATTTACGCTTCTGGTTTCCACTTCAGGTTAATAAGTCCAAAGTTCATAAGGTCTAGCAGTTAAGCATATTGCCTATTTCCGATGGTTGCGGGTTCAATTCCTAGCACGATGCAAACATTTGTATTCGTAAGTATGATTGTTGGTATAGGTCTGGGTGTATTCTATATATATTATGTATGTATTTACAAAAAGTATTTATGTATTTCTATGTATTTTTTTTATTAATAATGGGATTGCGCTTTGTCTTTCCTCATCTGATGGTAAATGATGGCAAGACCTAGGATGTAACGCGCTTACCCAGAAGATATCTAGTCGCAAGATAGAAATATGCTTAAATGTTTATAAACTAGCTGTTTCACCCGCATAAAATTTAAAGCCTATATGTTATTCTGAGGTATTTTAAAATATATTATTAACTATATTACTGTAGTTTGAAAAAGTAACAAACATACATCTATACTCACAAACTTTCGCGTTTATAATATTAATAAGATTAGCTGCATACTATAACTATTGGATTATAAATAGTACTAGCTACTCGCCCCGGCTTCGCACGGATGTACATGTATTATATATATATATATATATAAATCTTCCTCTAGAATTATTCTATCTATTAAAAAAACCGCTTCAACATCGGTTGCATAGTTTAAAAGATATACGTATACATAGGCAGCTGTAGCGACTTTATTTTATGCTATGTTATGATTTCTTTTAGGTTATGGCGATTCGACAAAAGTGATGCCTTCAGAAAACGGTGTGGTAGAAGACGCTCTAGTCGTGTACGAATGGTTGCAGTCAACAATCGAGAAGGCGGTATTAAAACCTGCCGTGTTCGTTTGGGGGCACTCCTTAGGTAACTAACATACACTATAATAGAATACAATACTATATAACAGAACGAAATAGAATCAAAAACAAGATTCAAACATTCCGTTTGAACATATAACACCACGAAAAACCCTCACAGCGCTTTTATATATATTTTTTATACTACTAGTGGCAAACAAGCATACGGCCCTTCTGATGGTAAATGGTTACCGTAGCCTATGGACGCCTGTGCCATCAGGGGAGTCACGTGCGCGTTGCTGAACCTTAAGAAATCTTAATATATTCTACTTGAGAAACCCCACGCTGTAGTCTCGTGAGAAAACCTCGGCAGATAGTTCATTCTAAGTATTTTTTGCGTCAATAGTAGTGTGTGGGGGAAAGGGATTTTAGTCATTTATTTATTTATTTATTTACGTCACACTAAGTGAGCTTTACAGTTTCCCAATATGCCCACTTAGGAAGATTGTATATATATACACACACTTATAAAACACTAGTTACTAATACATACACTAATTACACAAGAAAAAACAAAAATAATAACAATAATAATAATCTTACTTTTCCATACTACTTAAATAACCTACTGCCATCCTACGAAACTCCAGCAAATTACTTTTAGTAATGTGAATTGATGATATTATTGCTAGCAAATATCAGGTTGCCCTCCACGCGGTTCCCCCTGGAAACCATCGTGATCAATTCCTGGTGAATTTATCAGGATGGGCTAACTGACCTGACCTAATACTCATCTTATCATCATCCGCTGGTGCCCTGCCAGCGTAAACCGTTAGCGCAGGCGGATGCACCATTTCATTGTCATCCATAAAAAAAAACAGTTATGTGTACTATTAACACAAACCACGCCTTCCTCGCGTAGTTTTTCTTTTTTATTCTTACATTTATTTAGGGACTTTTATCATAATATAATAATGCCATTTCCATCGTATGTTATTTCTAATCTTATCTTCTACTGTACAATGAAAATAAAAATGTAGCTGGCGATGATACAGGATCGTATATTGTTATGCATAAACATTAAATTCCGGAAGTATTCAAATATAGCTGTATACGAAAATATTTGTTTAAAATTCGTTCATCCATGAACCAGTAGATAATAACGTCAGTAAATAATGATAATGAGATAACAGCAATATTTTAATACAAGCAGATTAGTAGATACGGTCGTCTAACGGTCTACACCGCTAATATCCGATGGTCGCGGGTTCGAGTCCTCGCACGGTACAAACATTTATATTATGATTGTTTATATTGGTCTCGATGTTTCTACGTATTATATATTATGTATATACCTATTTAAAAAATACATAAGTATATCTATCAGTTATCTTATACCACAAACACAAGCTCTGCATATCTTAGGACTAGATGGCGATCTGCGCAGGTATTTTTTTAATGGATCATAATGGAATGATGCACCTGCCAGCGCTAACGGTATACGCTGATGGGGCACCAGTGGAGAATGATAAGATGACCATGACGTCAGTTTAGTTAGCCCATCGTGGTAAATTCACCAGGAATTTATTCACGGTGGTTTCTAGGCGGAACCGCTTAGAGGCAACCTGATATTGTACATTGTTAGCAATTTACCATATTAGGTTGACCTGTACACGATGCCCTCCACTGGTGCCCCACCAACCTATATATACTGTTAGCGCAGGCAAGTGCACCCTTCCATTAAAAAAAACGTATTCTATATATATATATATTACCGTCAGCGCAGATGTGCATATATAGCACACCACATATATAAGCTACCAAGCATTACCTCATATGCCACAATCTGCTGTGATTCCAGGTACGGGTATATCCTCCCACATGCTGGGCAAGTTGGAGCCTCTGTCGAGGACACTATTGGAGCGCCAGACTTCGCTGCCGCCCCCCAAAGGCCTCATTCTCGAAGCACCCTTCAACAACCTAGCTGATGAGGTCAAATATCATCCACTGGGCAAGGTACCAAACTTTATTCCTTATTACTTACTAGTTCTACCCGCGGTTTCACTCGCATTAAATTTCAATAAAAAATATAGCCTATATGTTATTCAGATGCATAAGCTATAGAAATAGAAATAGAAATAATCTTTATTCAAATAAACTCATTACAAGCACTTTTGAATAGTCATATTTTGATTCCACCACTCATTCGGAATGCACATTCATCACAAGACGAATGAGCAAGAAACTTGTGTGTTGCTCTTTTTAATAGATGTTTTTTTATATAAACAATTACAGTATAACAAGCTTACTTGTTATACTGTAATTGTTTATATAAACAGGCATGCGATAATCAACATAGAAATCGCCATCGTATATTACTGTAATTCAGTAGTTTTTGCGTGAAAGAGTAACAATCATCCATACTACCAAAGTTTCGCATTTATAATATTTTTAACTGGGCCCGTGATTTCGTTAAATTTCAATAAAATATATAACCTATGTATTATTCTGATGTAGAAGCTTTTTTAAGGATTTTTTTTCTAGAAGGATATATTGGAATTACTCTTAAATAAATTAAAAACATCTACTATATTAAATCATATTTACTGAGCAAAGCGTATTACTCACTAAACGACGAGCGTGCATGGCAATAGTTGTTCATGCACTGGATTTTCACTTAATGTTAGACATAGACACCTATATAAATATAATTGTAAATAAACTGGCTTTTAAAAAAAAGTAATTCAATTGAGTTTCTTGCCAGTTCTTCTCAATTAGATCTATATACCGAACTGGAAAAATATAAAATTATAATGTAAAAAATGTGACGTTCATAAGCGGCTAAAATGTCCTACATGAATAAATGATTTTTGAATTTGAATTTCATGATACATATATAATCATAGTATTGTATCAACCAGCTTGCCATTCAGTCGACTTGTCTGTGACTACATTTTTTTCTAGATGTTTCCATATTATCACTTGTAAATTAAATTGATAAATGTATTGAAACGTTAATCATGCGATAAGTGTTTAATCTATGGATTAAATTTGGGCGAAACCGCGGGCACAGCTAGTCATTACAAAGTCATTATCATTACATAGTATAAAATAAAGTCGGTATCGCTGTCTGTTCGTCCCTATGTGTGCTTAAATCTTTAAAATTACTCAACGGATTTTGTAGCGGTTTTTTTTAATACATAGAGTGATTCCAGAGGAAGTTTTATATATATAATACATGTACACCCGTGCGAAGCCGGGGCGAGTAGATACTAATTTATAAATCTTAAATATGACTGGAAAATAAAACAGTTAAATATTATAAAAATTAAAATGATATAAGAGAATGTGTACGTGTGTCAGTTGGTGCGGTGGCTGCCGTACCACGAGGCGTCGTTCTGTGCGCCGTTCCGTCGCGCGGCCGAGCCGGCCTTCAGGACCGACGAACACCTGGAGGACGCCCGGAGGCTGCCCGTGCTGCTGCTGCACGCGCGCGACGACCTGGTCGTGCCCGTCATAGTAGGACGCAAGGTAACTCTCTATAGATAGCCCCTGGAGGACGTCCGGAGGCTGCCCGTGCTGCTGCTGCACGCGCGCGACGACCTGGTCGTGCCCGTCATAGTAGGACGCAAGGTAACTCTCTATAGATAGCCCCTGGAGGACGTCCGGAGGCTGCCCGTGCTGCTGCTGCACGCGCGCGACGACCTGGTCGTGCCCGTCATAGTAGGACGCAAGGTACGCCTCATACTTTTCTATTGAGCAGATATTATTATATATTTCCTTTTCTCAACAATACAAAATATGGTCATATAATCTCCCTAATTTGAAATTAAAAATGAATTTGTATTTTTGTAAATATACAAGCTCATTTGAAAAGATGAAGAGGTGAATTTCTTGCCAGTTCTTAGCTTGAAAACACTCCGTACTGACGGTAGATTTGACATATTTTGATTTGATTTTATATAGATAGGTAATAATACCTGAAATATTATTGACATCTATTACACCTCACACATGTTTTTGTAAGATTATAATACAACATAATACAACGAAACACCCTGCCCTGCTGCTGCACGCGCGCGACGACCTGGTCGTGCCCGTCATAGTAGGACGCAAGGTAACTCTCTATAGATAGCCCCTGGAGGACGTCCGGAGAGTATAATAAAATGAGCATGAAGTCAAATCAGATAGGCCATCTTGGCAAATAGCAATTTAACATATAAATTATTCAAGATAATTGCATAAGAATACAATACAATATACATATTTGCATATTTGATTGATAAGATGGGCGACAACAACTCAAAATAAACTAACTTCATCCTAGAATGACACGGTGCAACTGTCTCTTTTCCAGCTATATAAATCTCTATTGGCATCTCGCTCTGAAGGCGGGGCGACTGTGAAGCTTCACGAGTATGACAAGAAAGAAAACCTCGGTCATACATGGATATGTCACGGTGGTGACCTGCCAGAAGTGGTAGGGTGAGTATCAACATCACCATCACTTCATCATCATAATCTTGATCATCATCACATCATCATAATTACCAGAGAGAAGATTATATTAGTCTATTTAGCGTTAAACGCTTATGAATGGTAGTTTTATAGAAAAATATGCAAGAAATTTTCCCGATATTTTTCAAAATTCGTTAATGTTTAAATAATTGTTCAAAACCTTGATGAACGAAATAGTAAAACTAATACTTTCACACAAAAAGGCAAACAAAATCCTTAATGCCAATGTAGAGGCAAGAATAGAATAGGAAATTCTTTATTCAAATAAACTTAATTAAAGCACAGTTGAATAGTCATACTTCTTTATTTAATCGACCGCTCATTCCAAAACTAGTCTCATCCCAAGAAGAACGAGCAAGGAACTTGCGTGTTGCTCTGTTAGATAGATGCATGATGTAGTAGATGTGGGAAAGAGACAGCATTATGTCGTCTCTAGCGCACATGCTGGCGTCATGCGAGCATTAAACTATGACTGCGAGTGAGAATAGTGGTGCGGGTGTGAGAGCTGATAATTAATCTACTCATGCCTGTATTTCGGATGAAGAGTAAGATATAGCGTTGAAATTACAGGGTATGGGAGGTCTGAAACTTAATTAGGAATATATACATGACATATAGCAGGGGCGTTACATAATGCTTTTATACTGTTCATGTCTCCTGGCTTTACTTGACTGGTCTGGTTTTTTGCCATTTGGTATTCCAGTTACATAAAAAAATGATGGACTTAAAATTTAAAAAAATTGTTTCAGGGAATTTGTCAATGGTCATCGATAACTCATTAGGGATGCAACGCAATAACTTTTAATGACGTAATATATTATTAGCGCACGTATACTACCGTCCAAGGCCATATATTAGCTATTTTTATAAATAAATGACGTCACAACTACTGGTACAATAAAAGTAACCCTATTCTCTTATACATAAGAACTACAATTTTGTAAAGTCATTTTGATTGTTTAAATGTGTCACTATCAATGTTATGGGAATACAAATAATACGTGAAAAGTGTTAATTGTAAAGGGTATATCAAACCAAAAACCAGTGATAGTATTCACAAATATATTGCGGGTTCGATTCCTCGCACGGTACAAACACTTGTCTTCATGAATATGATTGTTTGTATCGGCCTGGAAGTTGTGTATAATAATTACATTACAGTTGTCCAGTGTCCATAATACAAGCTCTACTACGTTTGAGACTAGATGGCGCTGTGTCAATTGCCTTGAGATATTAAAAAAAATGGGTTTTGTTTTAGTACCATTTACGATTAACTCTGTATTTATTAAGTTCATACATATATTCCATTGAAATTGTTTGTCTATCTGTCTGTATGAACAGGAGGGTTTTGTATGTAATAATTTTATAAGTGTATAACTTATTATTATTTACTTATTTAGTATCTAATATTTAGTTACTCCGTTTTTTCGATAAAATTTATCGAACATATGTTATATAGGTGTAGCGTAGCAGTGGGTAATTTTAAGATTACTTTCAGAACCACATAGGGCAGGTTCGATTCCAATGTTCTATATTAAATTTAAATATATTTATTTGTAAGCAGCAGGTTCTGTTCTTATTAATAAGTTCAAACGTTTGTTTACATTACTCTGTACTCACAAATGTAGTCTCTGGTCTGTTTTTTAATCCCGTAGACAAATTTGATATTACCAATGTTGCCAGGTATTTGCTATTTTTAAATAGGGATGTGGCACTATCGGAAATATGAATTACCCATTTTTATAGGATACTCAGAAATAATGTTTGAGTGTTTATTTAATATTGTAAAAATTACTATATATACGGAAACTACAAACGTGTACTATTTATGTTATATAATACAACGACAGTAATTGAAACATTAGTATATGTACGTAAATTTTTAAAATTTGTTGTAGAAAAGTCATGTAAAGCTTTAAAACTAATATGTTAAAATAAAAATTTCCGATTAAACAAATCGGTATCACAGGTACACCACTACCCCGCATTAGTGTACAATTATATACATGGTAAAATTTAGTCTTCGGGATTAAAAAACAAACTATAGTTGATATTGTAAATAACAAAATATGACATTATTATTTATTTAATTTACTATTTTACATATATTTAGTTAATAATAATTACTTCATATATATTTCAAATAATAATGACAAATAACGCCGGTTAAAATTCATATTGGATAATTTTTTTTTAGTTCCGACGGTCGCTGGTTCGATTCCTCGCACTAATATTTGTATCCATAAGTATGATTGGTGCTATTATTGGTCTGGATGTTTTTAAATGTATTTAAGTATTTATATCAGTTTACCAACCAGAAACTAAAATACCATCCTGATAATCTGGATGAATGGCGGTCCTCCATAGTGCGGTTTTCTGGAAACTTTCTGCCACGCACAACCACATTGTGGAATCACCTTCCAAAATTGATATTTCCGAACCAATACGATAGTGAAATCAAGAAAAAAGCTTATTCCTTCTTAAAAGGCCAGCAACGCATTTGCAATTTCAAAATCTTGCGGGTGCTAATAGGCAGCGGTAATCACTTATCATCAGGTGATCCGCAAGCTCATTTGTCCTTTATGCTATAAAAAAACAAACTGTTTAACTTTAGACTGGATGGTTCTGTCCCGGTATATTATTCTTATATTTATTCGTGTATTTTATTATATCACTCATTTATGTTTTACTAACTTTTACAAATTGACCATTTTTGACCGAAATATAAAGTAGGCTATATGCTTCATCACAAATGCTTCTTATACACAACATTTTATTATAATTACAATAGGGATAAGTCCACCTTTGCTCACATTGTCTTTAAAATACTATTCTACTATATTTTCTGTAAACTTCGCTCTTTTTTTATTATACTCAATACTAAGTACTTAGATTTGAAAAGAGCGGCTGCAGCGTACATTCCAATGTGTACTTTAATACCTTATAGCTAAAGTTGTGTTTTAAAGTGCCTTGCGCAGTGATATATTCCTATTCGTGACTATTAAAACGCATTTTATAATTATGTATATATATATACTTTATATTGTAACATTCCATATATTGACTAAGGTTGTAACTGTGAGCTTTAAATTATAATAAAGTTGCACAAGATTTAAAATGTAATTAACACAGTTAAGATTTCATTGTCAGATTGAATTGGTTATTCAATCTGACAGTGAAATCTTTACACTAACATTAATACTCAAGTTAATAATGATAAGAATAATAAGATGAGAAAATGAGACAATAGTGTAAATAATAATAATAATAAAATCTCTTTATTGCGCACATATAAAGAAAGAACAATAAAATACATAAATTTGAACTTTTAACTGTGTTAATAATATATTAACTAACTTTAAATGTAATACGGAATGGAGTCCAGTTAATAGGTCTTAATTAACCGAAATATTGTCTTGTAAACTAATAGAATGAGACCAACTAAGATCAAAAACATTTTTTCTATTTGTTTTTGTAATTTTTATAATTGTATACAGCACAGTAGAGCCCAGTTAACAGAGTTCTATTTCAAATTAGCAGTTGTTTGTTTGTTTATATGATTATTGAGCCAGTTAAAATAATTAACAACAGATTACAACCCAGTTGTTTAAGGAAATGAGTTCCAGTGAATAAAATCATTACATAGTATAAAATAAAGTCGCTGTCGCTGTCTGTCCGTGCCTATGTTTAAATCTTTAAAACTACGCAACGGATTTTGAAACGATTTTTTTTTTTATAGATAGAGTGATTCAAGAGGAAGCTTTATATATATAATACATGTACACCCAGGCGAAGCCGGGGCAAGTAGCTAGTTATCAATAAGTTTTTTTTAACCTGGGGAAAATCGTTATGGAGAAACAGAAAGTTGCCTTTGTAGTGGCCTCGTCAATAAGTTGTTAGATATTTGATACATCACAGTGTTGCAAATAATTTTATTAATAATTATGAACTGTGATTAAAGTAACGTATGTTTTAATGTGATAATGTTTTATATTGTTTTTTGTATTTATTATTTATTTAATTTATTAAAATTAATTATTAAATGTTTATGTTATATTTGTGTAGTTTTATTGTTCTTCTGTCTTTGATATAATTATTAACAAAATAATATGTATAATATAATCATTACATAATATAAAATAAAGTCGCTGTCGCTATCTGTCCGTCCGTACGTATGCTTAAATGTTTAAAACTACGCAACGGATTTTGAAGCGTTTTTTTTCATAGACAGAGTGATTCAAGAGGAAGGTTTATATATATAATACATATACACCCGTGCGAAGCCGGGGTGAGTAGCTAGTATATAATAAAATAATGTAATGGCAGTGTTCTGTGGATTTAAACGCGCAGAATCCAAAATTTATTATATATTGCAATACAAGTATACCAAGAACGAAAAGAGACCATTTGGATGAAGTGATTTTTAAAATATAATTCGCATTTTATAAAAATAAAAAAAATTCCAACCATAAGTACAGATTTTTATTTTTTTTCAGTTGAAAGGATTTATGGGATAGCTTGTATATTAAAACTGATAACGGTCTTATTACAAAAAATCTGTTAAAACTCGGACGAAACGTGGTCTAAATGGTCGTGGTTTAAACCATTCCTAAAGTTAATACTTGGAATAAACCTAACATTATTACGAATCGAATGTATCATCATCATCCATAAAAAACTCAATCTCTTTAAGATCTAACAGAGGACTACTTAGTACTACAGTTAAATCGTTCATTATGTATTCCATACAGAAATCAGTCACTCATGTCTGTCACCGTACAATTACGTTCCATTTTACCAGAAAACTGAAAAGATCAAAAATAATATTAGTTCAAAGAAAAATGTATAAACTAAAAATAAATTTATTTCTATTTATCTAGGTCTTCATTATAACTATTTCATTAATATATAATATTTATTAATGTACTATTAGGCTGAAAATCAGTTTTAAATTACAAGTAGGAGTCCTATACGGAGGAAAGGAACGGCGAGATATTTTTATTGGATCGTTCGAATGGTGACTATTTCAAAGTCAAATGAGTGAAAAAATAACAAATAACGTCTTTTATATATTTTTATTATCGTAAAATTTGCTTTAAATATTTTTAGTTAATATATTTTTAATTTAGTTAAAATATTTTTCCAAAAACTACAACTAACAATAGAATTTTTAAAATGGAGTTTGTATTTTTGCATTTAGACCACTGTTAAACTAGGGGCATCGCAGGTCTAACTTTAGACCATAGACGAATCACGATTTAGAGATAAACTTCATTTTGTAATAAGGAATACATTGGTGAATGGTTTATTACTAGTGCTAAACCAGGTTTATCTTTTTGTAATAAGGCCGATAATGTTTTATGTCGACCTTTCGTCCTCATTTTCGCAATTACAATTATTTTAGAGTTTAATTAGATATTTAGTCAATCTTTGCTTTAATTTCCTTTTTATATAAATCTAAAGTATATATAACAATATCTATTCAATGAGGAAAGGGGTTTCGAAATTTGGATTAATAACCCCTTTGCTAGCAATGTATTATGTCAGGTTGACCTCCACGCGGTTTCCTCTGAAACCAGGTTATTGCAAGAGGTGTGACTGAGCTGACCTCATGTCCATCTTATCCTCCACTGGTGCCCCGCCAGCGTATACTGTTACTAAATGTTAAAAGCGCAGTCGAATGTATCATTATCATCCATAAAAAAAACTCTATCTCTTCAATGTCTTCAACCTTAACTTATTGATAAGCAAGTAATAAAGACAAATATGTAAAACAAAATTAAGTCTGGTCTGATAAATGTAAATCACAAGAATTGGTCTCTTCCCGGAAATGCCTATGTCGAGCATTGGGCTGATATTGAAATAAATCTAAGCTGTATGGAAAAATGCCTTCCTTCCCTTAAAAAGTATGGAAGAAAAACATGATTTATTATTTACATTGACATATACCTGTCTGATTAATACAATGTAACATAAATAAAATACAAAAACATTCGGTCATTTTACACAAATTTATAAAATGAATAAAAAAAACCTAAAATTTTGATCCATCTCTGACTGTTTCCTAGTCAATAGGTTTCTAAAATGAAAGTCCTAAAAGGATAGCTCGTTAAATATACATATATAAATTAACACCCATTAAGAATGGTGATTGGGTAAGTAATATCTAAGTCTGTAATATGATTCTGTTATAAATTGTACATTTAAAATATAGATTATTATTTTAGCATATAAATCATAAAGTACCTAATACTCTGATATTTTAGAACTATCTTACTAACCGGCGCTTCGTTTACTGCCAGCCTATTTGTGGTACAGATTGCAGTACTGCCTCTACTTTTCAAATATAGCAAATCTGTGCAGAGGAAAATGATTTTTTCCAATTGCAGTAAGTTAATCTGTATTTACACTCCTTTAAAAAGTATACACTCTATCCTGATAATATAAAAACCATCATTCCTAAGAGTATCCTTCAACTTCTGTCCCTGACGTGTCTAGATAGCGAACTTTGAAAAAGGGCGACCACAATAGATCTATATAGATCGCAGTGTTACAGGTCTAAACAGCTGACAATAGCCCAAAACCCTCAATAATAAAAATACCCTTCTGATATGTTTATATATACAATATATAAATATATCAGGTTATATAAGAAATATAATAATAATAATGAAAATATGCCTGTAGCAATAAAATAGCAAAAGTGAGAGGACGTAAACAACTTCAAATAATATAAGTAGGCGCTTATTTCAGTAAATTACCCACGTAATCTTGATTATGAAAACCCTTCAAGCTGTAACATCGTTGGTGGCAGAAACTTCAATATTAAATTTCAATCTAAAGTGGATGATTGTCCTATAAAATTAGGTAAGTGAATATAATCTCATTTGTGGTGTATAAATAATTACAAAATGGTGAATAAAAATTATTAGATAAATAACCCTATATAATAATAATTACAAAGTAACTACAATTAATCATTTTAATTTAATTGTTGGCAGTTGATAAATGGAATAGACTGAGGTTAGTCTATGGCGTATAATAGAGAGCCATGTGTTTCAGTACTATTATTCGTTTCTATAACAGAAAACATTTCATTTTTGATTCCATTCTTACGCAATTTCGATTAATGGCCAATTAATGAAGTTTATACTAATTTACAAATTGGTAGGTATAAGCACTGTACTATAGAATATCTAGTTGATATCTTAAGATGGTATTAAGTTATTTAGTAAAAATAAACTACATAAACTTCATATTGTTGTCATCGCTTATTGAAAACAGCATCAACCAAATTTACAAGTATTTCCAGCGCGACTTATCGAGGTTACTAGTGACCACAGAGCTGGTAGCTATTTTGACCAGAAGGTAGGTAAGTATATGGCCATTCAAAGAGGCAACGCTGCCAGTATCTTGGGTATGCTGTCTCGATGTCCCGTTTGGATTACAATTATTGGATTTTTTGCGTGATTAAATGTAATTGTGTATGACTTATTTGTTATCAAATTTATAATATGACAAATTTATAATCAATTTTACTTGACTGAATTCGAGTTCTAAAGGAGCTGTAGAATAAAATATGCTACTCAAAAAGTATTTAAGTTTATTTGAATAGGAACTAGGTATTTCTATTACACTTATGGCCACTTATTGCGTAGGTATATGGCCAAATTAAACGATATTGATTTCTTCGAACACGTAGGGTAGGACGCCCCGCAGCTAGGTGAAGTGATGATATATAGATATATATAGGGTTGCGGGTAATAACTGAAAGAGAAGGGTTGATGATCGCGCCCAGTGGCGTGCTTTGGGAGGGGCCCATGTCCAGCAGTGGACTGCAGTGGGCTGATGATGATGACTTCTTTGACCTCTTTATTTCTATGGCTGCGTTGTATTATTTGCAGGTGTATGGCACATTATTCCATGCTCTATGTTTAAAGACATGTTTATAATACGTGATTATAAAACAATAGATATACGATTACACCATGAGTTGAAGAAAACCAAGAACACCATTGTTTTATATTGTCATGGTATGTATTTACAAATATTTGTATGTAGTTTTTTTTTATACCACTTAGGTGGCAAACAAGCATACGGCCCATCTGATGGTAAACGGTTACCGTAGACTATGGACGCATGAGACACCAAGGGTGTCACGTGCGCGTTGCCGACCCTTAAAAAACCTTAACATAACTACCCTTCTTGAAAAACCCTATCCTGTACTCTAGTGAGAAAACCTCGGCAGGTAGTTCATACCACAATCTAAGTGTACGCGGAAGGAAGCTCCTCTGAAACCGCACTGTCCGAGACAATTTAGGTTCTAGCGTGTGGGGATAAATTCCCTGTCGATGGTGAGCGGTGCGATGGTATATAGGGAACGGCGTACTGCCTAGCTTAGTGGTTAACTACCCCGTCTTATACGCAAAGGTCGTGAGTTTAAATCTGGTTAACAATGTAAAAGGTATTTTTACTAACTGCATTAGATTTAAATATATAAATCAAAATATGGGTATACTGACTGTTGCGGTCACCACAATGTCGACAGTTGTCACTGCTACAGTCTACCACATTTGTAATAACGGTCAAGAAGTTATATCTATAGCTTTAGTAACTAGAATAACCAGATGTACATAAATAATAATAAACAATCCTGGACAATTAACACAGCACCATCAAGTCCCAAGCTAAGCAGAGCTTGTGTTATGGGTATTAGACAACTAATATAATACATAGATACTTAAGTGCTTGATATTTTTTGTGAATACATATAATATACATAGAAAACATCCAAAACTATACAAACTATCATACTCATGATTACAAATGTTTGTACCGTGCGAGGAATCGAACCCGCGACCATCGGGAGTGAAGCGGTGTGCTACCGCTAGGCCACGGAGGTCGTCAAATTATGAATGGCCGAGTTATAAAGAGGATCTTAAGTGGTGACTTCATATAAGCATACCTATACAGTGTAATATTAGGTAATTACGTACCTATAATATAGTTTTAATTTATTAATTTTAGGAAACTCCAACCACAGAGCATCACCCCACAGAGTACAAATGTACAAAGTGTTTCAGAAAATGAACTTTCATGTCATCGCTTTCGATTATAGAGGTTTGTTGTTGTTAATTAAAAAAACTCTCCGGACCTGGACTTCTTAAATAACTGTTTTATCGTTACATAGTATAAAATAAAGTCGCTGTCGCTGTCTGTCCGTCCCTATTCCGTATGCGTAAATTTAAAACTACGCAACGGATTTTGAAGCAGTTGAGGTTGAGTTTTTTAATGATTCTAGAAAAAAGTTTATATATATAATACATGTAGGTACACCCGTGCGAAGCCAGGGCTAGTCTAAACTAAAATAATAAATTAACATAGCAAAATCTTTATTATAATTATTCGGAATTTTATTATTGAAAATTTACTTACTAGAGGGGAGGGGGTGGGTAAGAATTTTAGAAAGGCTAAGTAGGGGCATGGCGCTATAAAGGTCGGGGAATACTGGTTTAAACGAATCGCATTTGCCACGTGTTTGTTTTTTTTACAAAAAAACTAACCAATACAATGCAATACAATAGGGTCATTGTTTCTACCTGTTCTGCTCTTTCACTGAACACAAAATTGGAAGATATGATTCATTTATTGCCTTCTGTGGCAAGACAAGAATAATATACCTACAAATAGTGATTACAATTGTCTCCTTAATTTATGGTTCTAGAGAATTCTGAGATTTGGCTATAGTGGTGTAGTGGTTTATCACATTACTTAGATTTCTGATGATTTCAGATTCGATTATTAACAAACTGAAGTATTAAATTAAACATTTTAATTTATTATATAATAATAGATTATTATACATATAAATAAAATTGGAGTGTCTGTTTGTAATATTGAAATAACGTTTTTTACAATTTTTGTGTGTCTGTCTGTCTGTTTGTTCCGGCTAATCTCTGAAGTGGTTGGACCGATTTTGACGGGACTGTTATTGACAGGTAGCTGATGTAATAAGGAGTAACTTAGGCTACTTTTATTTTAGAAAAGCAAAGTTAAATTCCACGCGGACGAAGTCGCGTGTACAGCTAGTATAATATAATGATATTTAATGGACAATTTTTGAACAATTCACACAATGCCATCTATTACTCATAAGCTAAGTAGAGCTTAGAGAGCTTAGTAGAGAGATTGAAATACATAGATATATAATTTTTGTTTTGTAAACATATTTTATAATATACATTTAATAAGAAAACACCCAGATCGATACAGGCAATCATACTCATAGGTACAATTTTTTGTATCGTTAGAGGAATCGAACCCGCGATGATCGTAAGTAAGAGGGTTTATCCACCGCTAGACCACTGAGACCATCTTATCATTATCATTATATATCTTATCATCTCCACCCGTATGTTTGGTTCCTAATGAGCATTATGGAATTGTGCTCCTTCATTCCTACCTGTGTTTACCATCAGGCATCAGGCCGAGTATTAGTGGACGTTGATAGGTTGACGATGAAATCAGGTTTCTTAGGTCAGGAGGATTTTCAGCTTCTAAGAATCGGATGCTGGATGCATTTTTAAAATAATGTGTTTAAAGGTTACGGGGATTCAACTCGGGTGAGGCCGACGGAGCGCGGTGTGGTGGAAGATGCGCTGAAGGTGTACTCCTGGCTGAACGACTCCCTAGACCCTGATACCAGGCCTGCTGTGCTGCTCTGGGGTCACTCTTTAGGTACGGAAAGAGTAGTTTTTTTTTATATCCCTAGACCGTTTACACAATGCCATCTAGTCACAAATCACAAATTAATGCTTATAGGTACAACTGATATAAATAGTTACAATTTATGTTTAAATAATAATAATAATAATAATAATAATCTCAGGACAATTCACACAGCGCCATCTAGTCCCAAGTTAAGCTATTTAAAGCTTGTGTTAAATTTAAAAAGTTAAACTAAAGAGTTTTCACAAAAGCTATTCAAAAGTGCTTAAATTAAGTTTATTTGAATAAAGGATTTCTTATTACTATTTCTAATAACTTATGGTATTTTATAGGTACTGCGGTAGTGGCAAATATGATCTCTCATATGTCGGAGCTTTGCACAAACTTGGACATGAAGTGTCTACCTCAACCTGACGCCGTCGTTCTGGAGGCTCCCTTCAATAACCTCATGGACGAAATTGAAAGGCATCCATTCTCAAAGGTCAGTTTTAGGTCTATATATATATCTACTGAAGGCTTCGATGGTCTAACGTATTAGTACAACATTTTAATTCTGATGATCGGGGATTCGATTCCCACACGGTGCAAACACTTGTATTCTTGAGTATGATTTTTTGTATTGGTCTGGATGTATTTTTTTTAATGGATTATAATGGAATGGTGCTCCCGCCTGCGCTAACGGTTTACGCTGGCGAGGCACCAGTGGAGGATGATAGGATGGGCATGAAATTAGTCCAGTTAACCCATCGTGATAAATTCATCAAGAATTAATCACGAAGGTTTCCAGAGGGGACCGCGTGGAGGTCGACCTAACATAGTAAATCGTTAGCAATGGGTTTATAATTTCCCATTACTAACAATTCCAAAATAACCTTCCCCCGGGTCTAGATGTATTGGTCTGTTGTAATGAACCCGCGACCATCGGAAGTAAAGCGATGTGGTAAACCGCTAGACCACCGAAGCCGAGGCTGTGGACCAACATTCAAGGGTAGATTATTTTTTAATATTTTTTTTACTGTTCAGCTAGTCTCCTGGCTGCCGTATTATAAGGATACGTTCGTGAAGCCGTTCACAGTATCCTCAGAGTATGTCTTCACCACCGACCAGTACCTGATGAAGGTCCCTCATGTCCCCATCCTGATGATGCACAGCAAGTGCGACAAGGTTGTCCCATATGAACTCGCCGTTAAGGTACTATTTTTTTAATTCTTTCTGCCCATATTTTTGAAGTTGGAGAAATCTATTATTGTACGTCGAACTATTCTACTCAATGTTGTATTTTTGTATTTAAAATATTAGATAATAATAACCCAGAGGGTGAAGGAGATTGTGAATAACGCGGACTAGTGATCCCATTGCTAGCAATGTACCATCTCAGGTTGACCACCACGCGGTTCCCCATAGAAACTATAGTGACGAATTCCTTGTGAATTTACCACGATTACCAGGTATTTAAGTTACCTGACCTCATCTTCTCAGCCTCTATTGAAGCTCCGCCAGCGTGAAAGCGCAGGCGAAGCACTATTCCATTATCATTACATAGTATAAAACAAAGTCGCGATTGCTGTCTGTCCGTCCCTACGTATGCTTAAATCTTTAAAACTACGCAACGGTTTTTGAAGCGGTTTCTTTTAATAGATAGATTGATTCAAGAGGAAGGTTTATATGTATAATACATGTGCACCCGTGCGAAGCCGGTGCGAGTAGCTAGTCATCCAATAAAAAAAAAATCTAGGACAATTAACACAGCGCCATCTTGTCCCAAGGTAAGCAGGGCTTGTGTTATAGGTAGGACTAGACAACTGTTAGGTTTACAATAGTATGGGGGAATACTTATTACTTTAGTCTGAGGGCACCACTAGGGGTTCGAACCTCGGCTTGGGCCGTCGTAATTTCGATCCCCGTTTGAATTGGACGGGGTATCGATTTGAGGGCAATTGCAAGTAATTTGTTTGCCTTTTAAGATGCGGTATTTAGAAAGGATATATAAGTTTTTTTTCGGACTACTCTAATGCTGTTGTCCGCACCTGGCCTTACAGCTTCAGCGGACGATAGGGGCGAGTGCAGATGGCACTCCAAACCCGCGGAATGACTTATGAAGCGGCTGAAAGCCAACTCTCGCCTGACGGATTTTAGTCTGAGTGCACCGAGGCGCTTGATTACGCGGTATAGTGTGGTTGAGGTCGTTGCCTTCTCCGGCGAGGACGGTGTCGCGAGTGTGTGTGAAAGTGGTCAGGACGGAACGGTTGGACTCATATGGACATTTATATAAGTGTCAACATTCTTCACTATATATAGTTACATGAGACGGTAGCGCAGTCCCGCGGGCCGGGGGCGGCGCCCCTGCACTTCCACAGCTTCGAGCGGGGCGCCGGCCTAGGTCACAACAACCTCTGCGAAGCTCCCGACTTGGAAAATATCATCAGGTATGTATGTCTATTCAAATTATATCTCTATTCATGTAGGTCTATTACAGACTCTTATGACATGTCAAATCTAACGTCAGTTCGGAATGATTTCAAGGTGAGAAGAACTGACAAGAAACTCAGCTCTTATTATTTTCAAATGATCTTGTCTAGTACCCATAACGCAAGCTCTGCTTACCGTTAGACTAGATGGCGCTGTGTAAATTCTCCAAGCTTATTTATTATTAGATAGATAGATAAACTCTTTATTCACAATTACAGACACATAACATTCATGAGATACAGAAAAAACGTTGTCTGTTTTATGTCTGTCATTATGTATGTATTACTATTATGTTTATTATTATTATCAAATTAAATTATTCAATATATATACATCAGAATAACATATAGGCTAATTTCACGCGGGTAAAACCGCGAGAACAGCTAGTATCTAACATTAAGTACCGCCGCGAAGAAATCAACCGCAGGCAAAAAGTAATTGTTTGTTTGTTGCAGTGACTTCTTGAAACAAATCAACACAAGAAACCCGGAGTAGCGAGAAATCTCACGAATAAATATATTTTTCTGTAATAAAAACAAACTACTAAGACGCGGTATGTCATTTAATCAAACGTTTTATTTACAATACCAACCTTATCTCTTCACTTAAAGGTCCATTTTAGATGTTGCAATAACAAGCGGCCAGATAGCTATGACCATTATTTAATTTGTACAAATTGAACGCAATATATTATAGCTGTGTATTTTTTTTATCTGTGCGCGCGTTCTGTAATAAATCTTTTGAATTATTAAAAAAGAAGGCCGCACGGTAGCCGAAGGAAAAAATAATTTATTGTCTATGCCTCCGAGATGGGGTTCGCAACATTTTTACTCGCGTCTAATTAGCAATTGAATAAATGCAACCGACCGTATAATGATTATTGCATTTTTTTTTGTTTCTGAAGTATATTGTTGAATAGTTTATACGAGTTTTACATTGTAGCAATTAGTACATCGTTAAATTTCTTCGCAATTAACTCGAGTAGTTATTATTTCCTTTTTGTATATTTTTTACACGTGTTAGTTATACGTGTAATATATACACACTAGCTTTTACCCGCGGCTTCGCTCGTGTTAATTTATCCCCTTAGGGGTGGAATTTATTAAAATCCTTTCTTAAGGGATGCCTACGTCATAGTAGCTTTATGCATGTAAAGTCTCAGCCCGATCGGTTTAAAATTAATAAAGTTTCATACAAACCTTCATTCCCTATTTTGTTCCCTTGGGGGTAGAATTAATCAAAATCCTTTCTTAGCGGATGCCTACGTCATAACATCTACCTGTATGCCAAATTTCAGCTCGATCCGTCCGGTGGTTTGGGCTGTGCGTTGATAGATCATTATGTTAGTCAGTCACCTTTGAGTTACATATATTAAGATAATAGAGCAATATTTATGTGATTGGTACAATGTTTGCGTAAGTATAATTATACACTATAGTACTGATATACCTCTAATACTTGATATACCTCTAAGTATATCTGCAATGACAGGATCGGTGGTGAGAGTAAACACACAGTGGGGTTGGAACATGTACTTATATTAACTGTTACATCTTGAATTACTCTACCTTAGACTAATTACTAAGACTATACATATAAGACAGCTCCCTTTGACATAACTTGCAATCAACAGCGCAGAACGCGTTACAATTTGAATTGTTGAAATATTTAATTATATTATTATAAAGAATTTCTTTATATATATTAACCACTGCGTGACTTACGTAACGCTAGGTAAAGTTACTTATCCAACGCACAGTGGCACAATCTTTCATCCTACATGCTGAAATGCATCACGATATCACATTTTGTTTAATAAGTTAAGTTATAAAAATAAGTCTAGTAGTATTTAGTTTTTGCCTCAAAGAGTGCATAGTTTAACAAAAAAGTTAGAGAACATTCTAAATTAAAAGTAGCCTAAATAACTCCTTATTATATCTAATACAAAAACCATAATTTACTTATTTATATAATACTAACTAACCCGCCCCGGATTCGTACGGGCGTCCATGTATTATACATATAAACCTTCCTCTTAAATCACTCTATCTATTGCTAAAAACTGCATTAAAATCCGTTGCGTTGTTTAAAAGATGAAAGCTTGGTTTAGTTTGGTTTGGTTTTGCTTTGGCGGTTTAGCACACCGCTTTACTTCCGATGGTCGCGGATTCGATTCCTCGCACGATGCAAACATTTTGTATTCATAAGTATGATTGTTTGTATCGGTCTGTGTATTTTCTATGTATATTATTTTTGTATTTACAAAAAAAAAATTAATCTAAGTATATACATCAGTTGTCTAGTGCCCATAATACAAGCTCAGCTTACCGTAGGACTAGATATGGCTGTGTGAATTGTACTGAGATATTATTATAAGGAGCTAATGTTTCCTGTGATCGAAGCGCCATTAGATTATGAAATGCAGGTGTTGTATAAAAAAATCGTGGGACTAGATGGCGCTGTGTTAATTGTCCAGTTTTATTTATTATTGTTATTTATATTTATTTACTGTAATAAAATAGACTGCAAATTACTAAAAAGCACTCAACTTGAACAGTTCTCAACCCCTGTTCATTAAACGAGTGTGAATCAAACATTCTTTATTTGAATTTATCCGTCTCTCGATCGCGCGCACAATGAAGCGGAAACTCTTTGTAGCGTCGACCAGCCTAACAAAAACCACCCTGCCCCTCGCTTTTGTATTAAACAAATGCGAAATGAGGGACATTGTAGGGATTACCAGATGTCTTTTAAACTGGTTTATGGAGGTAGAGGCGACGGAAATACGTCACGTTCCAAATTAGGATTCAAACGCCGTAACAAAGTTGTTATTATTCGTGATTTGCCATTATCCATACTCATATTATAAATGCGAAAGCGTGTCTATTTGTATGTTTGTTTGTCACTTCTTTGAGACTAAACAGCTGAACGGATCTTAATGAAATTTGATATTATGATAGTTTGTATCTCGAGAATGACCATAAACTAGATATTTATTTAAAAATAAGAAGAGAAGTCATGAAAAAATAACAGACAAATAAACATTCGTATTTACACCTAACTAGCTGTTAGGTCATCTGCTTTTTGACGGCCTCGGTGGTCTAGCGGTTTACATCCGATGGTTGCGGGTTTGTTCCTCGTACGGTGCAAACTTTGTTTTCATGAGTATGATTGTTTGTATCGGTCTGGGTGTTTTCGATATATCTATATTTACAAAAAAATGTATCTATGTATTTATATCAGTTGTCTAGTATCCATAACCCTAGCTCTGCTTAACTTGGGACTAGCTGGCGCTCTGTTTATTACATCTATACATATAAATAAAATTGGAGTGTCTGTTTGTAATATTGAAATAACCGTTTTTTACTGCATGCATATGAATATAAATAGGGTAAATACACCAAAAAACCCCTTTTTAAAATTTTTATCTGTCTGTCTGTCGTTCTGTTTGTTCCGGCTAATCTCTGCAACGGCTGAAGCGATATTAACGGGACTTTTTTGTCAGGTAGCTGATGTAATAAGGAGTAACTTAGGCTACTTTTATTTTAGAAAAATAAAGTTAAATTCCACGCGGCCGAAGTCGCGGGTACAGCTAGTATTATTATAAACTAACTGACCCGGGCAACTTCGTCTGCATTACACACGCTCATCATTATACATATATCGGTCAATTTACATGCTATATTTATAAATTATAACCTATATGTTATTTTGATGTATAAGCTATATTATTGTAAAGTTTCATCAAAATCCATCCAGTAGTTTTTGCGTGAAAGAGTAACAAACATCCAATCATACTCACAAACGTAAGATAAATAAATATTAAAGTAGTTTATTTTTAAAGAGCAAAATATAAGTAACTAGTGTTTACTGTGATTGCAGCACCATATAACGACGAGATGTACCTACATCTACCTACCAAGGTATTGTATAAAAAAAAACAAAAACAAAGAAATACAAATCACGTATTATATTAGTATGTAATATTATGTTATCTGTGGTATTAGATAGATCTGTTACAGGCCCCCCTACCACGGGAGCGTGAAATGGCGAGAGCTCTCGACGCCCAATCTCGACACATGTGCGGTCTCGAACGAGCGTTCATTAGGTGCGCTCCCGCGGTGAAAATTTGCAAACCACTTTCTTTAGTGATTGGACGTTTCGTTGTGTCGATATCGATATAAATTTTAATGGAGACTGAATCAAAATTAAATTATGTAAAACAAATATATACACCTACTAGCTTTTGCCCGCGGTTTTGCTCGCGTTAATTTATCCCCTTAGGGGTGGAATCTATCAAAATCCTTTCTCAGGGGATGCCTACGTCATAGTAGCTTTATGCATGCAAAGTGTCAGCCCGATCGGTTTAAAATTGACAAAGTTTCATACAAACTTTCATCCCCTATTTTATCCCCTTGGGGGTAGAATTAATCAAACTCCTTTCTTAGCGGATGCCTACGTCATAACATCTACCTGCATGCCAAATTTCAGCCCGATCTGTCCAGTGGTTTGGGCTGTGCGTTGATAGATCACTATGTCAGTCACTTTCGAGTTATAACTAAAATATTATAATTAGGTATTTTTTTATTTTGTGATTGATTATATTATTGATGTCTTATTATATTGGATAGGTATTATAGGTCAGTTTTTTAAATTATCAGTTATATTGAATCTGTTCATATAAAAATAATATTAGTAATGGGTAAAATATTATAGGTAAAGGACATTTAATAAAAAAATCAGGAAAGAAAGGATAAGGCAAGAATAATGAGATGAGAAATATAGCTATATATATTATATATTATACCAAAGATTTAATAAAATGTAATGTTAGCGACACATCAATCACCTTCGATTTGCCGACGATATCGTGGTCATGGCTGAGACCCTGGAAGACCTTAGCAAAATGCTCGAAGACCTCAGTAGAGTCTCACAAGGAGTAGGTCTTAAAATGAACATGGACAAGACGAAAATTATGTCAAACGTCCATGTCGTACCTGCTCCCGTAAAAATCGGAGATTCTACACTCGAAATTGTCGATCACTACGTATACTTAGGGCAAACTATCCAGCTAGGTAGATCCAATTTCGAGAAAGAGGTCAATCGTCGAATCCAACTCGGATGGGCAGCGTTCGGGAAGCTCCGATATATCTTTTCGTCCAAATTTCCGCAGTGTCTCAAGACGAAGGTTTACGACCAATGTGTGTTGCCAGTGATGACTTACGGAACAGAGACGTGGTCGCTAACTATGGGCCCCATCAACCAGCTCAGAGTCACTCAGAGGGCGATGGAGAGGGCTATGCTCGGAGTTTCTCTGCGTGATCGAATCAGAAATGAGGAGATCCGCAGAAGAACCAGAGTGACCGACATAGCCCGAAGAATTGCGACTTTGAAGTGGTAATGGGCAGGGCACATAGCTCGTAGGACAGATGGCCGTTGGGGCAGTAAAGTCCTCGAGTGGCGACCACGGACCGGAAGACGCAGCGTGGGAAGGCCTCCAGCAAGGTGGACCGACGATCTGGTCAAGATCGCGGGAAGGCATTGGATG